GTTCCAAATGTCCAGTTTGACCAAAAGACTGTAAAAGACATTTTGATGAAAACTTGAGGTATGCCATTATCAGCCAATGAAGGCGTGCGGCACATTGTAATTAAGATCACAGTGATCCACTCCCGTACGCCTTAAGTCAAATAAGTACAAAGTTTAAGGTGATTTCTTGTGTTAACTGTATGAATTTTGATCTATTTGAATGTTTATTTCATCAAACTTAAGCAATACCTGTATTACCAATGGAACGTGTACAAGGCATTGTATTCAAGTCACCGTTACCTTCACCTCTTGATCAAAAGTCAAATCAGTGCAAATCAAATATGCATATCGGCTTATTGAATCAGCTTTAGACTCGCACAGTTGTTCACCAGTAGTCCACAGTGATCTACGCCCGTACGCCTTAAGTCAAATAAGTACTAAACTTAAGTAAGGGGGAACATGCTTTTTTGTTCACAAAAACAAAATTATCTAGTTTTGTTTATGTTACACTAAGACTCTTAGGCTGTTGTTAAGTTGTAGAAGCGTAATGTCGGACCTATATGTATGAACCACTAGCGGACAGACGTATAAACATCTAATTAGGGATACGGACAAACGTGTAAACATCTAACTAGGGATACGGACACACGTGTAAACATCTAATTAGGGGTACGGACAAACGTATAAACATCTAACTAGGGATACGGACAAACGTGTAAACAGCTAATTAGGGATACGGACAAACGTGTAAACAGCTAATTAGGGATACGGACAAACGTGTAAACATCTAATTAGGGATACGGACAAACGTATAAACATCTAATAAGGGATATGAACAAACGTGTAAACATCTAATTAGGGATACGGACAAACGTATAAACATCTAATTAGGGATACGGACAAACGTATAAACATCTAACTAGGGATACGGACACACGTGTAAACATCTAATTAGGGATACGGACAAACGTGTAAACATCTAATTAGGGATACGATTTAACCCTCAGTTTTTGCCCTCAATTTTTTTCAATTCAATTTATTACCAAATGCACATTGCATATAGGCGTACAGAAATATACATATAGATAAATACTTTACAAACATTTTGCACAATGGCGGAGAACATATGCAATAGATTCAATTCCATACATACTATTTACAAATTATGAAATTGGCATAAGTTTGGGAAAACTTTAAGGTTTTCCTAAGGTAACTTAGCGAACTCTTATGAAGCATAATTTAGTTGCATAATTTAGTCGTTTAGGAAATAATACAAATAAAGCCTTAATCTAACCAAATTTCTAGGAAATAACAAAACTTCAAAGTCAATCATACAACCTCAACATGAAGGTAGAACGAGTACTATATATCATATAATGAAATGAGATTATAACTTATTGTGAAATAAAAGACATCACCAAAGGAGTTTCCAAGGGTGGCGATCTCTACCTCTTTTTACAGAAAGAGTAATGGATGGTTAAGTATGGAAGCGAAGATAACCTTTGTACAACTAGCAGGCCAATTTATGAACAACTATCGAACCAACGTTATTTAGGAATCACTGTTGAACCAATATATGAACTACTGCTGACCAAATGTGCAAGCCTAAAACTAGCTGACTCATTTAAAGTCTGATTTTCAAAAATCTGTTACATAAATGAGAACAGTTGTTTTTATTCACTTTCGTGTTACGGCAGAAACAGTGTTCAACTCTGGACAATCGTCACTCGTCGGATATCCTTAATACACAAGCTATATATATATATATATACTCCGTCTATTCGTATTGCAGAGTTATCTGCTCTTGTGAGGAGGAATTGATTGTTACGTCATTAGTTTGTGAGAGTAACGTCATCAATTTTTGAGAAAACGACGTAATTTTCTCACACAAACCAATGACGTAACAATCAATACCTGCTCACAAGAGAAGATAACTCTGCAATACGCAAAGACGGAATATGAAACAGAAAATATTAAATTTCATGTTTTCAGAAATCGAAGATACGTTCACGTGTACCGTCATCGTATGCCACTGGCAGCTGAAAAAAGTGTAACAAAAAAATAACTAATTATGTGTTTAACCATATTTGATATATGTTTAGTTTAGTGCTAAATTGACAAACTTTGAGTTAGACGACTGGTTAGTTTTATGACAGAAATGGTGCATTTGATTTGTTATGTTCACGGTGCCTAAATGGTAACGTAACCATTGCGAGCAGATATTATCAATTCAATTCAATTAGTTTATTCTGTAAGCCTTACGACTTATACGATACAAAACACAATGTTAACACATATTAACAGGTTAAACAGAGTAATGATGTACAGGAGAGTGACAATTGTATGTAATCGTATCACATACACACACACACACACACAAGAAAGTGATAATACTATAATGACTGAGAGCGCTTCTTAAAAGCAAATCTTATATATTTACCAAGATTACACAAATCTTTTATATTATTAACACTGAGAAATTGAACGAGTTTAAATACACTGGGACGACTAAAATAATATGGCTTCAGGTATCTCACCCGTAAATCTGCATAAATAGGACACTTAATGTTCCTTTTATCTCTACGGGATATGTTTCCTTATGGTGATTTTTTTTAAACAAAATGTTTTATTCAGAAAACAGATTTACTTCAGCTAAAAAAATCGACTAAAAAATATCACTTACAGACATAGAATCAGCTCTAGGTCGAACATCCTCGGACGCGATACCATAACTTTGAGAAAGGATGCGAACCCCGGGACTGAACTATCATCGAACATCCGCGTACAATTACATGTAAACACTTTTATTTGAGAAAATCGATGAAGCACTGAAAGTGGATGCTTACATATATTGAACAAAGACAGTACCGACAAAGTACCTTTCATTTTGAAATGTGTTTGAATGACCTTATGGAGAACCATAAGTAAGTTATTTTACATTAAAAAAATGTAACCAAACAACACTACGTTTCAATATTTTCAATGCCAACAATACCGAACAAAATTACAATTCTCTGGGGGTATTTTTTTGTTTTAATCAAACAGGAAGAGAACGCAATTGATCAGATAATTGTAAAATAGACGTGTTCTGTTACAGAAGGCTGCGTGCAGCAGACTCCGCTTGCTGTGTATGATGTTTTTGCTATTAGTTGTCAATGATAAGCCACGAGCGTAAAGTAATGAAAAGATAACCGAGAGCAGAGAGAAACGAACAGCGACGCCAACACAACAGTCCTCGTGGGTTTTTTCCTGTCCTCTGCTAGGTCTTAATTAAGTCATGTAAATAATTAACTAAGCTTGTAACTCAAATATCATGGGTTTTGTTTCTTTATTTCAAATTCACATATAAGCTCATTATTTTTTTCCCATATTTTTACCAATTGCGTCATGTTGAAAAAGAATTGCTTATATATATACCACGGAATTAGACTGTTATCTAAGTCCGTGTATATACCCAGTGAAAAGTATGGCGTATATATTATTGTTGTGGTACTGTAATATTTGAATTCGTGACGTCATCATTATAGATGTCTTTATTATGTGTACACTTTAAAGTATGACATAATAAAACGCATTTGTCTGATGAATAAATTAAGAGCAACGTGATGAGAGTACGTTAACTTGCAGTTTTTTCTTTGTTTTTGTACATTATTCAATTATATATACCTATATATTAATTTGTTGTTGTGTGGGGTTTTAATTGTTTTAATATCAAATTAAATTTGTTGAGGAAACTTTTTATTCGAGGAATATCAGACACCCCGAAAAATAACGGTTTCATAATTAGAAAATAAAAATATGTATGGCATTATACAAAAAACAAAGACGGGTTTCCGTGTAATTATTATACAACATCTCGATAAGGTATGATTTCGCTACATCACATTTCCAGACTAATACGTGACGTACGTATGTGAATCAGTTTAATGACACAACTTTTTAATCACTTCACGCGCGAATTATAGATGAGTGGGCCATGAAAAAAACCAGCATCAATTAGGATTCTACGCCATGATGAAATGCCCCGTTTAAAATAATTGGTAGATTTTTATAAAAAAAAAATCGCCTGAAGTGGTCTCTTCTTCTATAAACTGATTTTAATTAACGCTCGAGTTGGCAAAAGGCTGTTTCTAATGCAAACATGCAAAAAAACAAGTTTTTTTTAAATCCCTTGTCGGCCTCATTATTGAATTTGTATTATTTTTTTCATTTACAACAGATCGAACCTTCAGCTGGCCCCATATAATTACATAAGCCAATGGAAACTATCGATACATCGAAAATGAGAAAGATTATCCAATGATATACGCTGTAACATACGGGCACTGACTAGACACCGCAAAGCCTTCGCAAACAGATAACTTTGAGGATTTATTCATTAAAATACTTGTAAATGGACAACAAAAATCTATTCTTTCGGGTAGTACATGATAGAAGAAGGAATGAAATTACACATTTGACCACTTATAAATCATTTTTGAATTAAATCGCTTAAAAATAGGAGTGAATCTGAAAGCAGTATCAATGATGTCTTGTTACTATTTTTAGAACAAGATCAAGCGACAATAATTATGTAGGGTTTGCAAGTACAAGCTCATGGGCGAGTGGCGAAACGGCACTACTTGTCGGTTCGAATACCTTTAATTTGATGAGAGAAACATTAATATACACCCAAGTACAGGTAATCCATGACTCCTCGTCCACCATAAAACACAACCCCGTCATAATCCACCGTGGGAACAACAATTTTATGAAAACCACAACGCGAGTTCCTTTTTCTCTAGCGGAAGAATGTGGCGAAAGATCGAGATAAGTCCGCCATGTCACACTCAAAAGAAAATACCTGTTTCGACAAATATTTCCAAAGAAAGTACGGAGAGTCCATCAGAACAATTTTTTTCGACAGTATCCCGTTCATGAATCATAACAACATTGTCACTAACCAAGAGATTGCGGTTGAACTTAGTAACCTCTCATAATTTCCCCTTTGGCGCCTCACGGGGTAAAATAAATATTCATAGTTTACACGCATATCTTGGCAGCCATTTTGATGGAAGCCATTTGCAAACTAGAAATAATTTAAATTTTTTGTATATTTGGATACAATTACCAATTATGTGAAGGTAAGAATGTGCTATTAACTAAATATTCTTCTGAAATCTTCGGAAGTAATTGCATCAATTGATGAACCATTGAATTGTTGATACGATGTGTTTGAAGTTTCAATGCTGAAATCGGGGTTGATATTTTTGCTTGAAAAAAATTAATAATAATTTCATTTTAGAAGTATTCGGTGTTCAGATGATATTCTCGGTGTTTGTCAATTCACACTGTATATTTATGTAACCGTTACGATGACTAATTTCGTGTATAATGACCATATTTGTCCAGTGTTTACACTCGTTTTGACACTTCCGCCTGTACCCCCCTGTTTCATCGAAAACGCAATTTCATTATGCAACATATTAATTTGTTAAAAATAATGATCAAATGATCCATATTTTAAACAATACAGTGTGTCTTGTGATGGTTGGTATGTTCAAGTGTTTAAGTTCAGTTCATAAAGTTACTTTATAATCTTAATACTGCTTCTCTATAACTTCTAATTCGTGTACAATGACTTTCATTTGATGTAGTTGTGTATGTCAACATCAATGTATTTAATAAGATTCAGACAGTTCAATCATTGTACCATGCCCATTCCAACGCACTCATAATATACTAAATATATGAACTACTGTCACAACAATAAACGTTCCCAAAATCTCTAAAAATACCCCTCAGATAAATGCTAAATTTTTTCAATATTTTGCTCATGAATTATTGATTTAACCGGATGTGTTGACCTAGCTAGGCTACTGCACAGTAGCCAGTAAAACACAAACTCAAGTCAAACATGTACATTGCATCATTTAACGAAATATTTTTTATATCTTAGCAAGTTTAAAATTATATCTGTAAAATTAAATGCTAATTAAGAAATGTTGTTTTCGGTCATGTATGAGACTAACGCCTAGCACCTTTTCATATGAAACATAAAGTTTGCTTATAAATTGTTGATCCTCAGTAGGATGTTCGTAGAATGTTGAACTTAGGATTGGTTTGGCATATTTTTTGTTTAAATGTACATTTTAAAATTTAGAAACTGTGATGCAATATGTATATCTTTGGTGGCAGGGCAACTACACAGCCCTAGGCCTGATCGAGAGACTGAAAAATCCATTCTAATCAAGATCTGAAGATCGATTCTTATGTGTGATGTATATATGACAAGATCGATTTTTAATCGTAGAAACTATCGAGTCTTCCTTGGCTTTGATATATCAGTTCTGCATGGTTTTCAGTAACTGGCAACAGGCAAAATTGATCAATTCAAACCTAGGTTTTAGCCTGTTATGTTCTATATTTCATTTTATAAATTTACAAATAAATCAGCTTTGTAGTTGTCATTTGGCTTGTTTAATGTTATATAGATAGATCTCTATTAAAACTGAAGGGGTCTGAATATTTAAAAAGCATGTGTTCATGTTGGTGAGATATATTCCAAGGACTCAAATTTAAGGAAATATTGAAGTGCCAAGTTTACGTACATGTTTGAGCGCAGCTTGGCTTGATTATTCTATCAAAATCTATATCGGCCGAAATTCAAATGTTATTTAAGGTTTAACTCGATGCAACCCTGTAAATGCCCTATATATAGCTATAAGTGCCTACTTTCCCCTGTCTTTTCTGAGGTGCCAAGGTTCCCATGTTTCTCCTTGTAACCCTGTCGGTCTGAACTCACTGCCTGTAGATGTTTTGGAAAACTACCTAAAATCTATGAATTGAAATTGATCATACCTGGTATATATTATCTGTTGATATGGACTATTTACCATTGATATGGATAAATTTACCTGAACCATCATATTTTTGTAATTAAATATCCATCTATTTATATATTTTAAACTGAATATTGAAATTTAAAGTAACTGTATATATATATGTTGAAAAATCACTCGCACATTTGCTGTGAGAAGAAAAATAAATATTAATGTCAGATTGAGATACTCATAAATAACTCATTTATTACGATGATTGAAAGGTTGTTTGGAAGATGCTATTAATTCAGAATAAATGCCTGTTCTTGTATTCCAAAAAAGTTCAGTGAATGAAATCTGAATTTACCTTCTCTCCTCGGCTGTAGAGACATATTTGTTTACAAAAATAAAACACATGATTGTGCAAGCTCTATGAGAAGTTAACTGACAGCTGCCCCTAAAATGTACATGTATAGTTGTACGGTTAAGGATTTCTTCATTACTGGCAGAAAACGCCAAGAAAATACATTTTGTCAATTTCTTACAATTAACATGATTTGTTCATAAGGAGTATAAATCAATATTATCATGAAGTATATATATTATGAAAAGAACTTCACTAAATTGGCTCTTTAAAATGTAATTCTAATCATTTTTGTTGGCTCGAATTATGCAGTGATGTCTTGGACACCAATTTTGAGTGCTTTACCTGTGGAACTGGCCCCCATTTTGAGAACTCGCTACATATCTTGCTTTTAGCAATGGACTTGTCATCATTTTGAAAATGATTTTTAGGACTCGTCTTAAAAATTAGTAAGATGGAACGTACACATATGGGATGTCATTGTTGGAGGGTTATATTAGATGGTACATATATGGGATGTTTTTTTGGGAGGAATCCAGATTCCTAGGAAAAAATGTATGTGGTCTGTATCTGGTCCCCAATAACTTCATGTCTGAATCGAACCCTGGCTGTCTTGATGAAGGGTGATGGCGAGTGCATTGTATTAAAGGGTGTGTATAACCATCCAAATAAAAACCTTTCCAATACTGCTTAAAATAAACTCTTTCAAAATCTACCTACAGCCTATAGGTACTCTTATCACTTCCCCTGTATATGTTAATTTACGTAAATTAAAAATATTTTCAATGGTAATAAACAATGAATTTAATATATTTATGAAATAGGGTTTTTTAGATTGTTAATATCAATGTGATTACTTATAATTGGGAATTGTGAGGGATGAAGCTTGCATATTTGCAGGTACACATAAGTATTTCACGATAACTACACCTGTTTTTGGTGGTATGTGTACATAAGTTACAGATTAGTCAGAGAGCCAAGGAGAACCAGATGTCATTTATTTCCCACATTTCCATTATGATTAATTTTCTGAATTAATAATTCAGCCTGGTTGTGGGTTGAGGATGAATGTTGAATTGCAATTTAATTAATCTAGATACATTTATCAATCATACTTCAAAAACTTCAATAATGGATAATTGGTTGTTTTTTTTCCTGTGAAATTGAATTAGGCCAAACAAAATAAGTGTTGTGTAGTTTGCTAATATTACATGTAGCTCTAAAGAAAAATAGGGCGTGAGAGGTTATATAGTACAGCAAATGATAGTCTGAAAGTGGAAACACAGATTTTAGAATGTTATGCCTTACAGTTTACTATTATCTAGATATGTTTGTTTAATGATATCAATATATTTTGTATTCATGAAGTAGAATTAAACATCTTGTATCCACATTGATCAGACTTTTGAACACAGTCACACTTCCACTTTGATGTTGCATCTTTCGCCTCGAGAAATTATTGTTTAAATGTATATATATATATATAGGGGTTGGGATAATTTGGAACTCATTTGATAAAATGGTATTTTATCACATAATGTACTGTGTTGTGTTATCCAGTGAATATACCCATGTCATATTTTTTTTGCGTATTATCCCATGTAATATGACCTATCAGCCCTGTGATTGGTTGTTAGTTTCAATTGTGATGTCACGCCTAGGACAAGTACATGTACATGACGTCACAGACTTGCGCACTGGAATCAAAATGGCGTCTTTTTACATTTCAAGATTGCATGAAAATTGTCGTTTTAAACGAATAAATGCCACACATCTTGATTATGTGATAAAAAGGATATTACATTCGTTTTCATTTCATATGAAATTTATAAAACTCACCAGAGGCTCGCTAAATTGAAAAATTCTCAGACTCGTTTCATAATTTAAATCTCTTATGAAATGGAAACTCATGTAAGATCCTATATAGATATAAATCTCTGCATTGAGATACAATTTTGACCCCTGTCTGATCCTTTGAAAATATGTTTACAAGTGTAGTTGGATATATATACTTATTTATTTGTGATTCATTTCAACAAAAATTATCAAAACAAAATAATGGATAGCTGCTGCCGAAGCTTATTGACACATGGTTGTTCCACAAGGGACCAATATATATATATAAGTTCAATGGAGCTTGTGTACATGTACAACTTCAGTACTTGGGAGTTTTCTGTAACATAATGGTTACATACCTGGTAAGGATTTCAAAATGTTCCAACTCCCTAAAAAGGCCCACAACCAATAATGATCTTTATTTTAGTACAGGAAAATAACACAAAATAACATAAATTTAACAGGAAACCCAAATTTTCAGTTTCTGTACCATTGAAAAGTTGTTGGGACTCTACTTTATTCTAGTTATTAGTTTAATTTTGTACCTTCGTTTTGAATTAGGCTGTGGTAAAATTCTTAGTGCTATATATAACTATTTTTAACAACATACGTCAAGTCTGTCTGGTTTAGGAGAAGTTCTCTGGTATCATGCTAACCAAGATTTCCATTCAACTTGGTGTTTTAGCATTCGTCATTAAGATATTTTCTCTAGATAGACAATTGTTTCTAAACATTTCCTTCAGGGTTGGTGAGTATGATATATAGTAGAAAGGTTATATATCACAACTAGCTAGGATGTCACAATACCCTAGGAGTGTATCACGATATATTGCAATACAGATTTGAATATATATTGCGATAAGTATCCCGATATATTGTCAAAGGAAAGATGTGCTCAATTGTATAATAAGTTGTTGTCAAAATGTTATCAAACTTAATCAAATATAATATGGAATACATAGATTTAAGATTTTTGTCAAAATTTGAACTATAACAAGCCTGCTTTATGCTTATAATTGGCATATCTATAAGAATTTGTAGTAATTTGCCAAAGTTAAAACACCATGCAGATACCAAAATAAATGCTGTTGACAAATATTGCGGTACAGCAATATTCCATCTCTGTATTGTGGTACGATACGATATGCCAGATGTGTATTGCGATATACCTGTTTTGTGATATATTGTGACAGCCCTAGTCACAACCAGTATGTGTGACCTTTTGGTGACTAGTACATTAATTACCCTCAGTCCCTGTCGCTTTCATCGGACAACTTCAATGACCAAATAGGAACATGCTTTGTTTTAAATTTCGTGAATTTGATCTTCCCATACATGTCCCTACAGTTGAATGTGGTTGAAGATCGGTCCTAAATAGGGATGTTGATGGTGATCATGCTCTTGAATGAGTTAATATCAAAATAAAGATGAGGATGCATGTCTTTTGTATTCAATTAAGCTAGCTATAAAGTTGTATTTGAGAATTTATTTTCCATTGTAGACCAGCTATCAATGTTGAATCAAGATCATATTTATCAATTTGGTTTGAAGGGGACATGAGATTATCATCTACAATAACATACATGTTATATATATATAGTATACATTTGTACAAATTGTATCTATATATAGGGAAATAAAATTGGAGTTTTTTTTAATAAGGTTAGTATAGATAAGGTATTTATTTCCTGTGTACATGTAATGTTGTTAATCAATGCAAATTTAAGTTTACAAGTTACTTTGATTTCCTGAGAACACATAACAGGGAATAAGGGTGTATGCATTGTAGTCTGTCAAATTGTAGTAATATTACAAGTGACAAAATAAATAAAGGAAATAAAATGGAACCATTGCTCTTTCTGTAATAATAAACTGTATTTAATAAATATGTTCTGTTTTATGTTTTAAAGGTTCGTCAGTGTCCTATACACTGCTCCATTTGGAGATGTATGAGGGGAAAAATATCCACTATTCCTCGTCGGACAAGAAGCCCTTGTGTTCATTCAGTTCTAAGGTCTGTAATCAGCACCGGCTCAATGGCTACGCTTTCTGTGTGCGGCACATCCTGGAGGACCCGACGGCACCCTTCAAGAGATGTGCTTACATGGCCAAGTCCAGCAAACAGAACTGCACACAGGCTATTCCCGAACATGAAGATAGACCGTGAGTATTGCGAGCCTGCATTCATTGTTTTTCTTCCCTTTTTTTGGTTAATAGGGAAGTAAAATAATCATTATATTATAGTACATATGGCAACTGGAGACATATCACAGTCAGACATATAATAACTCATATTTTGTTATCTTAATAAGTGTCTCCCTTTCCAGTAAGTTTTTATGTGACCTGGCATGAGTGCTTTGTATAGCAAATACGATCGCTGATAATATTGGCATAAACATTTATATAAATTGAGAATTGTTTTACTAAAAGAGAATTGAAAAACGCTATCTGTTTTAACGATTTAATGTGACCCAATTCTCATGTAAACAGTAGTGAATTTTATGTTGAATTCAGTTCAGTTATGTTGAATCTTTTGTTCTCTTTGTTTTGAAGGTACTGTAACAATCACATGCAGGTACTGGGCATGCTTCCACGCAAGGAACGAAAGAAAAAAGAGAAAGAAAAAGAAACAGAAAAAACAGTTGTTAACGAGATAACATTAACTCCAGTACCTCTTGAAAACAAGACAGTGTTTAATAAAAATCGTGTCAAACCAAGGTTTGAAAATCGAAGACTTCATATGTCAAAACTACACATAAACAAAGACAATTCTGGTATAGATGACCCAGAGGATCCATACGCCTTCCCTGATACTGGTAATGAATCTGCAATGAAGGTCAACAGCAGTCCCTTGTCGACCTCCGCCAATCTGGAGACTCTCTCAGTGACAACACCCAACTCTAGTGGGGGCAAATCTCCAGGAGGGGGTGTTGACCAGGGTGGTGTGTCCTCAATAGCAAAGCTTTACCCAGAACTGGCTGAGAAACTAGAGAAAATAAAACCAAAGTTTGACATTGTAAAGGGTAAGGAGAAAGGCAAAGAGCGCAGTTCAAGAACTATGAATATTCTCCAGTCAAAGATAGCACAAAATCGAATCAAAGACAAAATGAAGAAAAATCAAGAATCCTCATCACAGTCTCAGTCCCCCTCCCATGGCTACAACAACTGTGTTCCTAACAGTATCAACTTATCACACAACATTGGCACGCCTAATCACTCGGACCACGGCGATATGGGCGACAAAACACCCAACAGTGATCACGATGGTTTGAGCCCTCTTAGCTCAAATGGCAATATTTTACCTGGACATACACACAGTCGTATGGGCCCATCACATCCACTTCCCTCACCAACACATGACATGAAACGCTCATCACAAACCCCCTACATGATGATGCCACAACAGATGCTCCCTGGACCGGGCATTCCTCCTCCACCTCGAACTCTCCCGCCGGAGGGGATTCCCCACGGGATGCTGGCAGAGAATCTCCCGGGGATGCCTCGTGCAGACCACCTTCCTCCTCATTACTCTAGGGTACACCACACTCCTCCAATACAACATGCTGAGAAAGTGGCGCCAGTTTTGCACAACCTACATCAAGAACCCACAGCTCACTTCCCTATTCCTACAAGCACGCTACCTCTGCATAGTCTTTCCCATCCTCAGCATCATCATCAGTTAAACAACATGGTTACCCCGACTCCCGTATCCATGCCATCTCCACACCTATATCCTCATCAACATCCTCCCCACCCTTCCCATCCTCACCTCCCTTCCCATCCTCACCTCCCTCCACAAAGGGATGTACAACCTCCCCCAATCAACGCACAACCTTTACCCCCTCCTCCTCCTCCCTACAGAAAATATCCTCCAAGTGTTTCCATGACAATGGCCCCGGCAGTGACAATACCGACGACCGAACCGACAAGTTTGTACTTGTCGCCGTCAGTCAAGGTGAATTCTTCCTCTATACACCCAAGGGCAGGACTGCAAAGAGAAATGGTGATGGGGCTTCCCCCACCCCCTCCGTACTCGTCTACACAGTGTGCTACTCCTCAACCCCCAACAGTTACGAAGAGATCAAAGTCCAAGCCCAAGACATGGTCTATAAGTGCTCCTGTGATATCAAAGTTATTTTCGTCAGAGGCTTTGATGAAACCTCACTCGCTCAAACATGTACTACCTGAAAATGATGTGTCCACGAGGCTCCAGAAGAATAAGGCAGCTATCCAATACTATTTGAACTATGTCAGATGGAAAACGCAGAACCACAGTTATCTTGGTTCAGGTCAGTACCAACTGGTGTATTGTTTTATTGATTGTACGACATTTTTTTTTTACATCATTAAAATAAATTAGTGTAATCAAAAGCAAAAATCTGTATTAATTAGCATCTAACTTTTGCTTTATACATTATACCAGAAAACTTTAAACAAGTATTTGCAAAAGTATTTGCTATTCACCAGAAAAATCCATTAGTGCTCAGTGCTTAATTCTGCTTTCACAGTGGAAGTACAGGACTATGTATAGTATATTCATAATGAAATGAGATATATACCGACGTGGTGAATTCATTCCTGTTAAAGTGAACAAAGAGTCAAACAACGGCCTAACCTTTAATTGTGTTATTCTTAAAAACTCAGTAGTATACAGTATCAGTATTATTGTACGAGGAACATTGTAAATAATGCTAACTTAAATTGTTATTATTAAAATGAATAATAGTCAATGTATTGATCATCTTTTAGGTTTAAGAAGTTCAGACGAGGAGGCTAGCGATGATGAAAATGCAGATTTGTTACCATGGCAACCAGAGTGGTTTACAGTATCCTCTGACGAAGAGGCGAATGAGGATGAGGATGAGTAAGTTGTGTTAGTGAAAAAGATCTTTGTTTCTCCATATATGACGATCAAGACAGGTCACACATGACAATGTTTTGTTATCTAAACACTTACATTCATTAACAAATATTACGCAGAGATTGGAATCACCATCTATAAACGTATCTACCACATTGTGAGTTTAACCCCTTGTTTTCACTACATGTGTTTTCTTACAGCCAAGATGACGCTCTGAGAACAGCAAAGCTAGCTTTAATCCGGGCGAGGCTGAGACGCAGGTGTTTCCAAGCTCGCAAATCTTACCGTGCCAATACCTCTGAGCGACTGCGACAGAAGACTGATACACTGGGTCTGATAGAAGCTGCTCGTGAGGGGTCCAAATCTGCTGTTCAAGCTTTAAATGAAATCAATTGTTGTGAAACTCCACCCGTCGATGTGTAAGTTAATGATTTCTTAGCGGTCAGTTTGGAAAGTTTGATGGTGAAATCCTAAGGGAATATAAAATATTCATATGAGACTTTTGAAAATTACAATCCTTTAAGTAGGATTTTTTTTGAATGATTTTTTAAGCTTATTCAATGCATGGATTTTAATCAGAAAAAAACCCCATTAATAAAATGATGTACTACACAATTCACTACTAGTGTAATGGTTTGGTGAAGTGTTTGATGAACTAGGTGTTTGTGATTGTAGATACAAAATGAGAGGGTTACTGGAAAGACAATGCTGCCACAAGAACGATGAGGAGGTCCAGTGTGACAGTGATGTCCTACCCTACGCCAACCACTGTTTAAAACGTATCCTTGTCAGAACAGATAGATGAGATTTAAAAGGTTCACAAAATGTTAAAAAGTAATGTAAACTGGCTGGAATTAACTTGCATAAATAGAGGATCGGTCATAAGTTTCCTTTCATATTAGATTTATGATACAATATTGGATTTTTCATGTTTGCGAGCCTCTGGCGAGCAAATATGAAAAATCCAAAACGAGTATCATCAATCTAATATGAAGGGAAATGAATGACAGATTCTTTTTATCATATAATACAAAGTAAACTGTATAATTGTGATCTGAAACGAATATTTTGCATTCGGCCGCCTCTGAAACAGTGAAAATTGCGTCTGCTTCACAATGACGTGACGTCACATTGATTATTCCTATATGATTGTGACATCATTTCCGGAGTGATATTAGACACATTACATAAACATGATTTAACGTAATTTATGTGATGGCTTTATGACACTGCATAACACGATATTCATATGATAAAAGAGAGTATGCAGAGATACTAGCGGTAGGCTTTTCTGACGCTGTTATACCTGACCAACTGATCCAGTCCTCCCTGATCTTGATACAGGCTAAATAACACGCTGTTATACCCAATGGTACAACCCCCCCACCCACATTGACTGTTATTGTAGAATCGGGTGTATTGACATCATCATATCATACCCATATAAATTCCCATTGATGTCAATAAAATCAGGTTTCACTGTACCCAATTTTAAATGAAAAAAATATTTGTTAATACAGAGTTCCAAACGATCATTCAGCAAGTTATTTTGGTATACGTGTTTCTATATATATGTGAACACCAATTTGTTATTATGACATACTGCTAAATTTGGATAACTCCACACTTGGGGCTTTATAGTAGCACAGTGCCAGGTTTGCTATTACATGTAGTCTGACATCAGCACCTGCTGTGCTGGAAATGCCAGCGGTGAATTTAGACTATGGTGCACTGCTAATTTTGATCTATTTTGTCACCTTAACTTGAACCTTCAGACGTAATGTACAATGTTGATCAACAGCTGTTCGACTACTGCACAGCTAAGTTTGCTGACAACACCCAGTGTTGTGTTCCCGTCAACGACTTCAAACACGAGCTCCCTCTTTGTATGGAGCACGGTATCAAAGCCGTAAGTTACTGTTGATCATTAGCTAAAGTGGCTCGTGTGGTAGCCTCAACTTTCCCAATCCAATTTTACTATTTGTCGTATGGTTTCAATATAAAGAAGAAAACAGACTTTAATATTTATAACCAGTATATGATTAAATGAGACAATGCACATGATGTTTTGATACGATCTACGGCTGATTTCAATGATGTCTCCTTTAATCTTCTGATGCATTACTTTAATTCATATACAGATAGTTGTAAAGAGTTTTAAATGTGCATGTGAGGGTAAAAATATATATAAAACATTTTTTTTACTACGTTGTTAGCGCTTTCGCCCATTGAAATAATCGCCTAAGAAGGGCGAAAGCGCTACTAGTGAAATTTAGTCTTCGTGTTTTGTTTAACATTTATACAGATCTATAGTTGTATATATTGGTAGTAGTATGATATACTCCTCAAAATATGTTTTCCCAAAATCTCAACAACAAATGTCTGAAGTTTTGGTGCTTGAATATGTCAATCTGTGGTAAATACTGGTAAGAATATTTTAATTTTGCAAACAGGATCATGCATTTAAACCAGGATGAGATATTTTCCTTCTGATATGATTGATTAAAACAGAAGTAGTGTTGCATTCCCAGTGATTTTAAGACCTTCCTATTTCTCATCCCAATTCTCCATATAATGTCAAGATAACAAAAGGTTAACATTACCATCTTCAAAAAACAGAAAATAATAGAAAAAAGATGAATGTTTGAACATTGTGACGATTATCTAATTTAGATACAAAGTGACTGTTAGGTAGAAAATGTGTAAGTGGCCATGTTGTAGCCCATTACTGTTAACCTACAGGATACATACTTGGATGGAGATGCTGAATTTAAACCAAAGCGGCCGAGGAAAAAGACGAAGCCATCTGCACTGACGCGACCACCAAAGAAAGGCAAAAAGAAGAAGAATCAGAGGAAAAATATCCGTCCGCAAAAACCGTCTCCACCTTCTGAACCAACTGGTCTGACAGGTAGGGTGTTTGTGTGTTGTTACATACTGTATGAAGTGAATGGGACAAGATCAAAGGTCACGTTTTGATATTTTTTTGCTATTCTTTAAACTGTTATTAGTTGTTTTGATAGTCTAAGGCTGATCTTATATCTGCTGATGCATTCCTAGAATTTAGTTCCAATATTGTTGAGCGAAATGATAAACGGATGCTTTATCCCTTCTGTATCCAAACCAGAGCTTAATTTAGATCTTTAAAAACATGTGTGTCGATCCATCATCTTTATAATTATCTTTGTATTCTTATTTTCGGTTAAAAGCCAAAAACTTCAGGAAAAAGGCATATTGAAGAACCTGTGTGTTTACCCTAACATGATGCTAGTGTCCCTTTCTAGGATACCTTTAGCTGAAACGGTTTCATAAAAAATCATTTTTTGTGCTGAAAACAAGAATTAATTATTTCCCAGTGACTTTTCACAAATAAAGGATTGTTGGTATGTTTGAAATGTTAAGCAATTGAAAGCATATGATGTTTTGATACGATGTAAGGCTGACTTCTATGATGTCGACTTTAATCCTCTGATGATTAGTAAAACCATTTATTGTTTTTAGGTCACCTGAGTTTTTCTCAAGTGACCTATTCTGATCGCTTTCCGTCCGTCGTGTGTAAACTTTTTACATTTTCAACTTCTTCTCAAGAAATAGTGGATGGAATTTTTTCAAACTTTGTCAGAATCATCCGTGGTAGATAAGGCTACAAAATTGTAAAATTGGGACTCCACCCCAACCCCTGGGGCCAGGGCGAGGCCCCAAAGGGAAAATTAACCAATATTTCAAAAATCTTCTTCTCCAGACTCAGAGTTACTACAGTCAATTTCTGTGCATGGATGGAAAGACCATCAGGGGATTTATTGAAATTGTCAATTTCAGGACCCCCGAGCTATCCGTTCTCCCTTGGGGAGGCCTAGGGAGTAAAGTTTTCAATAGTTTATATAGGGAAATAACACTTTTGTGTATATTTTGACAATTTTATGTAGGAAATTATTCTTACTTGGTGAGAATTATCCTTGGAGGAAGATGGTTTCAAATTGTAAAATTGGGATTCCTACCCAAACCCCAGGGGCCAGGGCGGGGCCCCAAAGAGAAAATTTACCAATATTTTAAAATTCTTATCCTCTGATGACATGACAAGTATTGTATTTCACTTAGCTTACATGCTGATTTTCACATCACATCTAAACAATAAAATTGAGCTACCAGTACCTATGAAATTACTCAGGTGACCGCTAAGGCCCTTGGGCCTCTTGTTTTTTCGGTAGATTTGAAAAGTTGCAACCTGATTTCTTAAACAGTTAATATTTGTGATTTTTGATGACAAGAATTAATGATTTGTCTATCTTTATTATTAATTGTTATTTTAGAAATGCCTACCATTGAATCCAGTCTGTTGGAGCTTGAGGATAAGGCAAATGGTTCTGATGCTGACATGTCGGGTATATCAAACCCAGATTTAAGTCAGACTGGCTCCGAGACCGAGATGTTTAATGACGAGTCAGATGCACAGCCAGACAAAGCGGCAGAGGATAGTACAGATGTCAGTAAAACTGTGGAATCTGTGGAATCACCACTGCCAAAGGAAACATCGGACAGACCAAGTCTGACCGAGCTACCAGAGGCTGCTCTCAATGCATTAGGTAAATCTAGGATGTTTCACCAAAGCATTGCTAACTAAATTGAACCCATCTCTGTGTGTGGTACTGGAATCTTTTAATTGTTAATTTTTATGAGTGTCATTTTCATGTTGCAGTGCTGTTACAAAATATGTTTTATAGCATATCAATATGATTTAGATGCATGTTATCATGGTTAAATAGTTAACATATATTGTAATCTAACCAAAGGTTTAACCACAGTAACGTTGCAGATTTCAACTTCCCTTCAATATTAATGTATGTTTTATGTTTTCCAGACATGGAAAAAGGACTAGAATTACCCCTTGAGCAAGCATCACGCTTATTAGAAGAAACAGACTTCCAAGATGTGTTCAACAAGATTCCTGATGAAACGTTTGATCTCTTCTCAGGTAAAACTAATGATCGACTTGATACTACCCGGTCCTTCTGTTGTAAGCTAATGATCGACTTGATACTACCCGGTCCTTCTGTTGTAAGCCAATGATCGACTTGATACTACCCGGTCCTTCTGTTGTAAGCTAACAATGGACTTGATACTACCCGGTCCTTCTGTTATAAGCTAATGATGGACTTGATCCTACCCGGTCCTTCTGTTATAAGCTAATGATCAACTTGATACTACCCGGTCCCTCTGTTTTAAGCTAATGATGGACTTGATACTACCCGGCCCTTCTGTTGTAAGCTAACAATGGACTTGATACTACCCGGTCCTTCTATTGTAAGCTAATGATCGACTTGATACTACCCAGTCCTTCTGTTATAAGCAAATGATCGACTTGATACTACCCGGTCCCTCTGTTATAAGCTAATGATGAACTTCATACTACCCGGTCCTTCTGTTATAAGCTAATGATGGACTTAATACTACCCGGTCCTTCTGTTATTCGCCAATGACCGACTTGATACTACCCGGTCCTTCTGTTGTAAGGTAAGCTAATGATCGACTTGATACTACCCAGTCCTTCTGTTGTAAGCCAATGATCGACTTGATACTACTCGGTCCTTCAGCTATAAGCTTTCCGTCCTTCTGTTGCATGCTAATGAGCGACTTGATACTACCCGGTCCTTCTGTTATTCGCCAATGATCGACTTGATACTAGCCGGACTTGATACTACCCAGTCCTTCTGTTGTAAGCCAATGGTTATAAGCTAATGATGGACTTGATACTACCCAGTCCTTCTGTTATAAGCCAATGATCGACTTGAGACTACCCGGTCCTTCTGTTATAAGCTAATGATAGACTTGATACTACCCGGTCCTTCTGTTATAAGCCAATGATCGACTTGATACTACTCAGTGCTTCTGTTATAAGCCAATGATGGACTTGATACTGCCCGGTCCTTCTGTTGTAAGCTAATGATAGACTTGACTCTACCCAGATACTACCCGGTCCTTCTGTTATAAGCTAATGATAGACTTGATACTACCCGGTCCTTCTGTTGTAAGCTAATGATAGACTTGACTCTACCCAGATACTACCCGGTCCTTCTGTTATAAGCCAATGATGTACTTGATACTACCCGGTCCTTCTGTTATTCGCTAGTGATGGACTTGATACTACCCGGTCCTTCTGTTGTAAGGTAAGCTAATGATCGACTTGATACTACCCAGTCCTTCTGTTATAAGCAAATGATCGACTTGATACTACTCAGTCCTTCTGTTATAAGCTAATGATGGACTTAATACTACCCGGTCCTTCTGTTATAAGCCAATTATCAACTTGATACTACCCGGTCCCTCTGTTTTAAGCTAATGATGGACTTGATACTACCCAGTCCTTCTGTTATAAGCAAATGATCGACTTGATACTACTCAGTCCTTCTGTTATAAGCTAATGATGGACTTAATACTACCCGGTCCTTCTGTTATAAGCCAATGATGTACTTGATACTACCCGGTCCTTCTGTTATTCGCCAATGACCGACTTGATACTACCCGGTCCTTCTGTCATTCGCTAATGATGGACTTGATACTACCCGGCCCTTCTGTTGTAAGCTAACAATGGACTTGATACTACCCGGTCCTTCTATTGTAAGCTAATGATCGACTTGATACTACCCGGTCTTTCTGTTATTCGCTAATGATGGACTTGATACTACCCGGTCCTTCTGTTATTCGCCAATGATCGACTTGATACTACCCGGACTTGATACTACCCAGTCCTTCTGTTATAAGCCAATGATCGACTTTATACTACTCAGTCCTTCTGTTACAAGCCAATGATGGACTTTATACTACCCGGTCCTTCTGTTATAAGCCAGTGATGGACTTGATACTACCCGGTCCTTCTGTTGTAAGCCAATGATCGCCTTGATACTACCCGGTCCTTCTGTTATAAGCCAATGGTGGACTTGATACTACCCGGTCCTTCTGTTATTAGCCAATGATCGACTTGATACTACCCGGACTTGATACTACCCGGTCCTTCTGTTGTAAGCCAATGACCGACTTGATACTACCCGGTCCTTCTGTTGTAAGCCAATGATCGACTTGATACTACCCGGTCCTTCTGTTATAAGCTATTAATAGACTTGATACTACCCGGTCCTTCTGTTGTAAGCCAATGATCGACTTGATCCTTCCCGGTCCTTCTGTTGTAAGATAATGATGGACTTGATAATACCCGGTCCTTCTGGTATAAGCCAATGATGAACTTGATACTACCCGATCCTGCTGTTATAAGCCAATGATAAACTTGATACTACCTGGTCCTTCTGTTATAGGCTATTAATAGACTTGATACTACCCAGATACTACCCGGTCCCTCTGTTATAAGCTAATGCTCGCCTTGATACTACCCGGTACTTCTGTTATAAGCCCATGATCGACTTGATAGTACCCGGTCCTTCTGATATAAGCCAATGATGGATTTGATACTACCCGGTCCCTCTGTTATAAGCTAATGCTCGCCTTGATACTACCCGGCCCTTCTGTTATAAGCAAATGATGGACTTGATACCACCCGGTCCTTCTGTTTTAAGCTAACAATGGACTTGATACTAACCGGTCCTTCTGTTATTCGCTAATGATCGACTTGATACTACCCGGTCCTTCTGTTATAAGCTATTAATGAACTTGATACTACCCGGTCCTTCTGTTGTAAGCTAATGATAGACTTGATACTACCCAGTCCTTCTGTTATAAGCTAATGATAGACTTGATACTACCCGGTCCTTCTGTTGTAAGCTAATGATGGACTTGATACTAACCGGTCCTTCTGTTATAAGCTAATGATCGACTTGATACTACCCAGTCCTTCTGTTATAAGCTATTAATGGACTTGATACTACCCGGTCCTTCTGTTGTAAGCTAACAATGGACTTGATACTACCCGGTCCTTCTGTTATAAGCCAATGATCGACTTAATACTACCCGGTCCTTCTGTTGTAAGCTAATGAGCGACTTGATACTACCCGGTCCTTCTGTTATAAGCTAATGATAGACTTGATACTACCCGGTCCTTCTGTTGTAAGCTAATGAGCGACTTGATACTACCCGGTCCTTCTGTTATGAGCTAATGATGGACTTGATACTACTCGGCCATTCTGTTGTAAGCTAATGATGGACTTGAGACTACTCGGTCATTCTGTTGTAAGCTAATGATGGATTTGAGACTACCCGGTCCTTCTGTTATAAGCCAATCATCGACTTAATACTACCCGGTCCTTCTGTTGTAAGCTAATGATCGACTTGATACTACCCAGTCCTTCTGTTGTAAGCCAATGATCGACTTGATACTACCCAGTCCTTCTGTTGTAAGCCAATGATGGACTTGATACTACTCGGTCCTTCTGTTATTCGCTAATGATCGACTTGATACTACCCGGTCCTTCTGTTGTAAGCTAATGATGGACTTGATACTACTCGGTCATTCTGTTGTAAGCTAATGATGGATTTGAGACTACCCGGTCCTTCTGTTATAAGCTAATGATGGACTTGATACTACCCAGTCTTTCTGTTGTAAGCCAATGATCGACTTGATACTACTCGGTCCTTCTGTTATAAGCTTTCCAAAAAGGCATTTACATTGTCCGTTCTTCATGGTTATTGTATGTTTGAAAACACTGAGTTAATGAAATTCAACAAGAAAAACATGAAAATTCAGTAATTTCTGCTACATCTGTATAGCTTCTTTGAGGAACATGCAATGCCAGAGGATCTTCTGCTAATTATATATTTATCTGTTTGTTCTAGTTAGTAAACCGTGTTGGCTTCACTTGAATAAGTATGAGGAGCTTGTTATAATGAACATTACTTTCATTGTTTGTATTATCTAAACCAACTGACAATGCTGCTAATGAGGAATGTATACTTTTGTATTACAGGTAAGAATGGGGATGCAATGATGCCTACACTTGAGGATGTGGCCGAGCTGGAACGTCACATCGCTGAGGCCAACATTGACATCAGCGTGGCTCAGCAGGCTATAGAGAAGTTCACCAATAGTGGTATGGAGCTAGACGACGAACAACTCAAACAGATTGCAGCCTCATTACTAGGGACTCCTGTGAACAACATGGCTACGGTTACCAATACTGTCCCTACTCCTACCCCTCCTACCCCTGCTGTATCCACAGCAACTGGGGCATTGTGCAATGGTATATCACTTGAGGGTGGTTTAAATGACCATGACATGAACCGGACGTTACCCGATAATGTTGTGATGGTGAACCGGAACGCTGGGTCTGTACAGGGTGGGGTTAGAGTGACGGTCAGTAGTGGTGCTGGTATGTACCAGGCCGCAGGGTTTAACCCCAAAGTGGACCGACGTAACTTGGTCAACAGTAGGGAGGGGTTAGTGGCGCTGAATGCTGCTGTGGTGAATGCACAGAATGCCAGTCAACAACAACAACAACAACAACGGTTCCCACATCCTTCTATGGAGTTACAGGGGGCACCGATGGTGACAAACCTGCCCCAGTCATTTATCAGTCACCAGAACACACTGCCAAATTTTACCGCGCGACAGGGACTGCCAGGGCAGTCAGCTCCACACCAGCAACAACAGGTGTTTCTACAGCAACAGTCACAGTCTCACGACTCCATGCCAGGGAGCATGCCCAATATACCTCTACAGCAAATAGTGTCTGTGTCCAATGTGTCGAGTATCCGTGCACCTAATCTGAACTCCGTGGGTAACCATATTGGCATCGACAACCTACAAAGTGTGCTGGTCACGTCAGACAAAGCACATCAAATAAGCTCCTCCCCCCAACAGACTTCCCACCCTGGCGCTCACATCACCACCACCTGGCCGACTAACCTCGCCAATGTGATCAGCTTTCAGAACGGATTCCCACTACATAATACTGGCTCTTTTCAGCATGTGAATGACATTGCTGCCAATCTCAAGTTTGGTGTGGGCTCCCAGTTGAAGCAGGATATGACACAACAATACCATCAAGTGATGGGGTCACCACATTCCGCACAGACCGGTGTCCGGCCCGCGGCACCACCGTCTCAGTCAGTGTACGAGGGTCAGCAGGTTCGACCCGGATTTAGTAGACTGCCCTCTCCTTTCAGTGCATCAACAGGCAAGGGCTCCTAGCAGATAATGACTCAACGATTCTGCTCAAATACATGTTGTGTTATAGAGGAGAGTTTGCTGGTCAAGTGTGAGAGAGTGTCGAGAAATATATATATATATATTGAAAATTAAGGGTAGAACTTTGATATAGTTTAGTCTTTGAGACATCATGCAAATTAATTGAGCTAAATTCAGAGAAAGATATCAAATATATATACGACTATAGATTATCTGAATTTCTCTCAAACTTTAGACTGTGTTTTGTTTTGTTTGTTGTTTAACAGCATTCGTTTTTCTGTTAGTAGCAGATTGTGTGAGGATTTCCATAAATCTATTATTACTGTTTTAATGATTTTGTTAAGTCACTCCGAGTTGGATCTAATTAAAATAGTTGACAAGTTCGCAAGGGGGAGAAGAAGCTCAATTAACCAAATTGTACGCACAAATTGAGGAAAGGAATTTATACAATTTATTGTTTCTACATGTAATTAACATAATCATTCAAAAAACATGGTATAAAATTGAAATTTGCCGATGAAGAAACAATTTACTGTTTCTGCTTGTAATTAATATAATATAACCATTAAAAAAACATGGTATAAATTTGAAATTTGCCGATGAAGAAATTTTTTAATGTTTCTGCTTGTAATTAATATAACCATTCAAAAAACATGGTATAAATTTGAAATTTGCAGATGACGAAAAAAAATTGGTTACATGTAATACAATACAGTTCTTGGCTCCTGAAAATGAAACAATGTTAGAAAGCATTGCTGTGGTACCACAAACACATTAGCACGTTACACTGACATTAATACAGCCAGTTGTAACGAGAACAGTTTGTACACCCAGCAAGATATGTTATATTTATTTGAAAGCACTCCTTTAAAAGGTGATGAGGCAAAATGCAATGATGTCCTGTTATTCCAAACTTTTGTCAGGAACGATTATGTAAATGTGTTTATAAGATGCTAAACCAAAAATTGACTCTTGTGATCTACGCATTATTAAATTTAAATATGTGTCCAAAAGAAGTTTGGGAAACATTTTTCATTAAAAACAACATTATAGAATTATCTTTTGACCGGAATTTTATGTAACAAAAATCTCTGGTAAAAATATTGCATAATCCTGACACTAAAATGGATATTAAAGCAATTGTGATCTTTCTCTTTAAAAGAAGGAAACTGTTTCTGAAGTGATGAAAGTCGTTGTAGTATGTAAACATTGTGTTGCTATATCGACAGACTATGATAAAGACTATCTGCTGTAGTTGATTCCTTAAGTTGATATTGTTTGAATTTAAAAACTTATTTTCTAATTTGTCGTTTGAATATCAGTTACATGTTATAGATGTTTGCATGTTTGTTACTCTGTGTGTCAAATTTTTATTATAGTAATATAGTTATAGTGAAGTTGTGATTTCTATATATAGTTCTCTGAATTTAGCTGACCGTTGCTGGTGTTGTTCTGGGGTTTTTGTAGTACAGAAGCAGAGATCTGATTTTTTTATCAAAATTTGTTAAATACAATGTTTACATTTTAACATGTAAGTACCAGGTGCTGAAGGGACTTTATATTGAATCTTAGCATGTCATCAACAATCAAAAGTCGCACACATTTGACTACGTCATTATGCCATGTTGGATTTTGTGTTAAATGTTATTGTAACCTTTTATAAAACGATTTATCCTCCAACCCAGTGGTAGGTGAAGGTTGTCAGCAGTTACACTGAATGAGGTTTCTCTCCAGTTTATATACATATTACATACCTGTTTGATTACCCACTCATATCTATAGGCAGCAGTCACATAGCTACAAAGTCATCAACACGGCCTCCTCACAGGTGTCAATATTTAAAGACCAACCATAAGGTCACTCACATCAGTCATGCATTTAAATCATTAAACATTTTTCCAGAAAAACACCATATGGTTGTTAAAATATGTAGAATATTAAATGAAATTTTATCAGAGATGGATTAGTATAATGTTTCAGTGTGTACTATAATGGATCTCGACCAGATTATATAACGTGGGAGTCATGGGCATTTCATTCCTGTTAATATGCCCCCCACTACTGCTACGGGAGAAATCTTGTACATCTAACCTTTTAATTTTTCTATAACTATTAAATACAGGAAATTAAAATTACCTATAAAGGGCTGCGTATCACTTTTTCTCAGAAAAGGATGTAAAATGATCTTTGGTACCCAGGGGATATAATTATTGATTTCCTGTCTAGGATACATTAATGCATATAATGGGATTTATAGATTTTTAAAAATGGGGGGAGGGACTAGTTGGTGATTGCGAACCATCATGTGCACCGGTACCTGTGCAGCACATTTTCAATTTTGGGAAACTGAATCAAGGCCCAGAGCTAATCCTGAAGGATCATTGTTCTTAAAATCCTAGTTACCCTGAATATTTAAAACAATAACTTACAAACAAACCACTGGAAGCCTTTCATCATCTTGCGATGAACAATTGAGATTCATAGATTTACATACTGGTAATTTTACCAATATCCAGACTTTGTTTGGCCCTGATATACGTAGGAAATATCTAGACTTTGTTTGGCCATGATATACGTAGGAAATATCTAGACTTTGTTTGGCCATGATATACGTAGGAAATATCTAGACTGTTACTGTTGGTATTATTTGGTTTTAAGGCATCGGCAGATTTTTATACTTAAAAGACTTCATGTTAAATAGGAAAACCAGGGATAAAAACAATGTATGTATTGTGTTGTGAGAGACATTCAGTGTAAATACTGTCAACCCGTCGCCACACTGGGTGTTAATACAATATATGGATCTGATTTCACGCAGTGTTGTTTTCATGGGAAAACGGAAATTCTCTAAGAGTTGAATTGGCCGATTAGGTATTGGTTGATCTGTAGTGCTAACGGACTACCAGTCATGTCATGTTTAATTGCACATTACACTGAAATACGTTTACCTGGTAAGATACGTTTGTCCATAGTATTTTTTTTTAATTCTAAGTTATTTGGCAAATGATTAATTGATTTTGACTGTTCAATACCTGGACCAACAACTTCTGTACAGACTATACATATAATAGATTTGGTACAAGCAAAATGTTGCAGGCACCCACCCTGTTCCCAGCACATTTTCCAAAGTGGGGAGGGGGCTTATTTGTGAGAGGGGGCTTGTTTGCAGTCAAATACGGTAATATGATAGAGGTGAAAACAACACTGCCCTGAAAACAAGCCATATACAGTATATATCTGATTTGTGCCATGTAAACTGCTGTTTTATAACCTTTCCACCCCTACAAGCCAGTATTGTAGGGGTCCACTTCTGTGGCCAGTAAGGGCCAATGTGGACGTGGAGGGAGCCAAGGACACACATAGTTAAAAGGATGTTACCGTGTCTCATACGTGTGGTAGTTATTGTCCACTGTGTAAAGGTATATAGCCGCCTAACTTGTTAAATCTTCTACCAAATACTCTTTATCATCCATATATTTCATGCGTCATCCCTTTTTATACTGTTCACACAATAAGTAGTTTCTTTGTTTGAATCATATTTAGAATGTTATAAAACATTCAATTTGATACTTTATATTTAGAACTGTTGTAATAAAAATGTGGGGATATTTTCCTAGAACAAGCACTGTGTCTGACCCAGAACCCGACTTTCATGGTTGTGTTGTCTTTGATGGATGGAGGGGAGAGGATGTTCTTATGTCAAAACTGTAGGACTGTAAATTACATGCAGACCATCTTGTCTAAAAAGATTGGCAACAATATATCAGAAAGCTTAATATTAAGTTAATATGTAAGTTCTACGTTGCTAAACATATGTTATTATATACAGTAAATATCATGTATTATTTTCTATATAATAGGTGTTGGCAGGTGATAAACTTCATAAACAGTAGCCCGAGTTTCCTCTAGCCCTGAAACCAGATGAAACTAGATGTCTCCCACACCAGACATCTATCTGTCAAAGTGTCTAAATCTGGTGTCGGGGCCAGAGGAAACTCGGCCTATATAAACAGGTGTTTTGTCTTTGTAGAGAGGTGATCTTCATAAACGGGTGGTCGACATAGACAAGTGATCTTTATGGAGAGGTGATCTTTATAGAGAGATTCCCTGTATACAGTACAGTTGTATTGATTTTCAGAATACTAGAATTTGTTATTTACATTCTGATTTTAAATCGGTAGAGATTTAACTCTTGATGCAAGCAGCTGGTATTTTGATAAAGGGAGGTAATTTGGTAGTGTACATTGATAGGTCTTATTGTAATGCTAGAACTTTTCCCTGAGTGGATTATGTATTGTGTAATTCATGAGCACTCCCAAATATTTTACTACTAACTGTTATAGACTTTAACTCATTCACCCCTGAAATTTCAAAATGAACTATTGGAAGAGTTCAAATGTGTCTTCAGGGGTAAATGAGTTAATGGCCATACAATTGGTATATTGATTTGCCTGTACCCTCGACAGGGTGTCAGACCCTTTTGGTTTTAGAGTCGGGCCCCTTTGGTTATAACATCAGGTTCTTGTGGTTTAAGGGTCGGATGCAGTGCTTTTCCAGTCATTAGCTGACTTCCCTTGTGCAATATTCATAGTCAGTTGTGAAACTTTCAATCCAAGAGTTTGTTATCCTCGATGTTTGTTATTTCTTTTTATTAAGTATGGGTCAATTGTTGGTCCTCTATATACAATTTCACATTTTCATTTTACTATCAGATTGTTATAGCTTTTGTCGAAATGTCTTAATCAAGTTTTTCTAATAAAAATCATGTGTAATTCTTGGACAAATTAAAAGTAAAATTTATTTCTTATCATGCACACAAGTTTGAAGGGTGAGGTGACTACGTCCCAACTCTTTCTAGATATTGAGAGGTTGGATGTTCGTTTGTTATTGTTAACATGCATGGGTACCCGATTTGTTATCAAATTGTAGCTACATTGTATATGAAAGTTTTATTTTCTTATGTTTGTCACATCCTATTTCGTGGTAGAGTTGAAAAATACTCTAAATATTTTTTCAGTCAACTTCAGGCCTGTAACAGTTATATTTTATAGACAGACCTGTGGTACATTGCAATATTTCAAAACTAGTACAGATCAGATTGTAGGAGATGTCCTTGCTTTAATATGCAACAGTATCAAAAAATGAAAAGTTTCTGGCAAAACATTGGTATGGTAAGTATTTATGTTCAGACTTCTGTGGTTCAAAGTGTCGACTATTGTTGATATGGGTTTGTAATTTCTAGTTTCTTATCATGAACAGCTTTATCAAAAATCAAGAAAAGTCATTATCAAAACCTCTCATAAAAGTTTACGCAACCTAGTTTTATCGATTGTGACTTTTGTATTGAAGGAAGTTTGGGTTAGTGTTTCTTCAGTCTTGCCTAGGGAGAAGAAAATTGTGAAATTATTTTCAATGTACATGTAATCCCAATGAACAGGTCAAGCAATACAGGCAATAAGGAGATAATCTGAATTATCAGATACAATACGGTAATATGTGCCAATCTGTGGTATGGCTTTTTATTTTGATAAGAAAATAGGTATAGATTTACCTTAATTCGTGACAAATGCATCGTATCTGAACTAGTTGGAAAATACAGTCAACTCCAGTGTCAAGGTTGTGCCGAGAATCTAATTGAATAAACTATTTTGAATCAATCAAAAGTAAAAATAGATAAATCTAGCTGAATTTATTTCTTTATTACACTCAATTCAGCGATTACGTGTCTTCTTTTTGATAAACTTCTCTCTTCACGTGTGATTTATTCTCATTGTATAATTAGGAAAAACAGATGACAGAATAGAAAAACAAACACATGAGAAGCAGTGGTTAAAGTAGGCAGCATATTTTGAACGAGTTTATGGTTGTAACAGATATTTGTTGATGAGTGTACTTAAATACTGAATGTATATATTTTATTCTTAAATGTAAATGGTTAAAACTTCAGTGTTATTAAATACTTCATTCTAGTCGTGAAATTTTAAAATGAAAATATTAGAAAATTTGAACAAGATTTGTTTTTGTTTTACTATTATCAAGTTAGAGAATTTTTATCATAACCTTTTTCTCCTGCCACGGTTTTGACTATTTGTGTTATGTATTGTTGTGTCCAGTGTATTTTATGAAAGAAAAAGTTTCAAGCTATCACAATCTTGTCATTTGTGAATCATTGAAACGGCAACAGCACCATTGTGAAAGAAAGTGCTGCTGTTTGTACAGATAAGTAATTTACACTGTATGTAATGCAGGCCTGCCATCTAACAGTACATGTGATTTAAGAGCAACTTTTCATGTTTGGTACCCCAAGTTTATTAGAACGAGAAAACTCTACTTATCAAGAAATTTATTATCTCTAATAACTATAAGGAATTTTGAGAAATAATAATTTCCTCTTTTGCTCTAAGCCCCTCTACTAAAAGAAAATACTAACAAGTGAGATTTTGTACATATAGATTAAGATAAACCTGAAACATGACACAGATGCTTTTATCCTTCTAATTACAGAAACGTTACAGTCTAACAAAATTTGCAGATAAACAGATTTTGTCTGAAATGCATATAGTCTAAAATCTAGTAAAAAAAATACAAACAGAAAATAATGCACATTTGAAAACTGGTTATAGAAGATGATCACTTTTCTTTCCTAGGATTCTCGGCCAATACATCTGGATACACAATAGTCTATAGACACATGAAGCTTATTTATAAACATAGAAATTTTCATTCAAACTTGTGTATGTTTATTAAAAGAACAAACTTTAATTTATGACTGTTTCTCGGTGGGTTTTTGTCTAAGTGTTACATTTATTATGATAGAAAAACAATGATCTCAAGAATGTGTGTTTAAGTATAGTGTGTACAGTATTTCTTCATATATTAAAAAAGACTTTTTTTAATTTGTTTACTATACATATCATTACCTCATTATGAAATATAACTAAGGTAAATAATCAATATTAATTATTGTAATAATAATTATGCTGAATTTTATTCAAGAAATGTTTTGCTTGTTATTTGAAAATACAGCCGTTCATCTCATCCCCCCATTAAGTGTTAGCTATATAATGTTGTGGATGTATTTATCTCGCTGTTTAAAAACCTGGTCTAGTTGTCTCAGATTATTAGATTTTCTTCTTGTGAATTTTCTTGTTTTGAAAATGTAAGTAAAAAATCCAGCCTTTCTGATCCCTCAATTCTTGGGAGCACTAATTAAAGCTGTTGTGGGGATAGAATTACAACGCTGTTTTTATCATGATATGCCAAAAAATTGCTTTACATTAAACTTATACAATTAACCTATACCATATAATCAATAATAAGTGTTCCTGAAACTAACTGACAACAGCAATGACGGTGTCTTGATTCAAATATTTTCTTCCTCAAAACTTTTGATGATTTCTGATGCAATAAAAAAGTTGTGCAATTTTTTTATTTTTTTTTCCAAGTGTAAATAAATTATTTCTTTTTCCTAATGACGTTCTTGTAATAATGAAAGTAACTAATGATACTTCAATGTTTTTATCTGGGACATCTTGATCAGTGTACAAGTTTTGAGATATGAACATCGTCACATTTTAATCGATACTATTTGTGTTATGGGTGTGTCTGAAAGTTGTTGCCGTTTTCTATTGTCATGTAAATGTATAGAACCCATGAGAAATTCATTGTGTTCTTATATATTAATTATGTTTAGACATAATTATTAAAAAACAAGAGACAAAAAAGGCTTAATAAAAAAAACTGAATGTACTTCTTTGTTTGGTCATTGTTTTGAAATGAAGTCGACTTAAGAAATTTCACGACTGTCGACACCCTGAATATTGGTCCACGTTAAGTCGACCTCAAGTGGTTTATACTTCGGATTCAATTGAAGGAGATTGAACAATGTGATCACTAAACATTCTCCTTCCTAATACAAATATTTAGACAATAAAGTGATTCCCAGTGGGAGATGGCCCTGTGAGATGTTGACCTTTAAAGTACGGTAAGTAATAAACAACATATGGCATTCACTTGATCTGACAATAGCTATGTAAAACTGTGATATGTGGATCACACCCTCCATGACTTAATTCTCAGTTCTGTAAAGATCCTGCACATACTGCTCAATGATTTAAAACTCAGTTTTGACAATTTTGCAGTGATTACCCCTTGATGGTACCTATTTGTAAATGTCTTGTCTTAACAGTATGTAAGAAGCTTGATGAACCAGTTGTTGCCATTCCCCTAAATGCTGAACGTTAAGCAGGGAATAACAACTACCATCTTTAAGAATTTTGGTATGTCCCAGCCTGGGGACAGAACCCATTGCCTTCCTCACCTGGGCGAACGCTCAACATTCAAGCTAAAAGTGGTTCACCTGTTGTCAGTATAATGTGACCAGGCAGAATGCTGTGCTGGGTGCCTTTCACATGGTATTTCAGTGATATAGCGCTATAAAGTCGGCATCTATCACAAGGAGGCAAGTACACCAACATACCCCTGTCTCCTCTACACACATGTAGGCACGTCCTTAAATTACCTTAGCTGTTAATAGGACGTTAAACCAAACCAAACTAAGGAGCTGGATCAAGTATTGTTCAGCAGTTAAGTGCCTGACAGCTTTTAGTGATTTGATGATTAAATCATTACTGTGAACTTAAAGTTGGGGATATGAACTTGCATGTAAACGTCTTGTCATAATACTGTGGACTTCCAACTATTGAACTCTTTGCTGTGACGTTCGATCTGAGTAGTACTACACACAAGTCTTGTCGGCACAACCTACTATAAAGTTCATAATAATAATCATCAGATGATTTGCTGATCCGGACAACATCCAAATGGATGGATGAACGAATTGACTGCTTATAACTTCCAACTTTTTATTCAACTTTAGACGGACGCTCTACCAACTGAGCTACCTGGTGGCCGACAATCAATCCTGTTCAGTTCCGCTTCATTACCAAAGTTATCACCCCTTCACGCCAGCAAGCTTTAGGCCTTTTATTATAACCCTAAATCAAAACTTTTTCCATGTCTGTACATAAATGTATAACACATGATTTTGAATGACTTGACCCACATTACAATAATAATAATTCGAGGTTTTCATATACCACTTTATCACAACCTAGTTTATAGGTTGTCTCAAAGCGGTTTACAAATTATTATCCGTGGTTATAGGGCCTTTGCAACTAGCCAAAATCTTTCTCCCTGGGGAGCATACATCCAGTGCTCCCATTTTTGCGCTCACAGCTAGCATTCTACAATTCTAGCACTGCCCGACCACATACTCATTTACAGCAGAGTAGACTGGAACAAGCAGAGTGAAGTATCTTGCTCAAAGATACAACACAGTGCCGTGCTGTGACTCGAACCTGCAACCCTTCGGTTAGGAGCACGGCGTCCTACCACAAGACTACCGTGCTTACCAATCAAATATTTTACCAGCAACTCCCTCAATTAAAGAAAATGTGTTACATCGCTTCATACAGTAAGATACCAGTAGAAGTGTTTCATGCATTTTGTTTGATGGAGATTGGATCATCAAACTTGCCAAAGCTATGGTTGATCATTAATGTTCAACCTTGGTGCTGATGGGAGTTTATCAAATTATCTTCTCTTTGACCATAACAATATATAAAATGAGAGACGAACGCCTTTTCATCAAATATCACATTTAATAACTTCTTCATATGATTCACATAATGATGTCTGTGTTACATAGATATATACAGGAAGTATTCTGTAGCAGAATTTGTGATGAACATGATTTAATTACGGTAGAAATTGGTTACTGTAAATATCCTTATTTTAGTGGTGATCTCATTTCAGCACTTTTCACACTTAAAACTACAAAACTCAATGGCTGTATAGAAAATCACTGCATTTTATACAGAGCTCTTGTAAATCAAGATACATGTAACTTGAAAACTGTCAACATTGCATGGAAATGCGAGTTATGTTCGATAATATAAGTATTTTTACAGTAATACATAAATCCATGAAAAAAATGTACCTTCTCCTTTATGCTAAAATACAAATTATCATGTAACGTTATTTTAATTTTTTGTCAGATTGATGTCGTCCATGGAAGTTACATCAAAGGATGGTGATAATTAACAATTCTAAGTGCGATTTTCACAAAGCTGGAAATGAGGTGAAGCAGAATGATCGTACAGTGGTCAGCCATTTTACCTCAAGTCCAGCGTTAACCCTTTCACCCCTAGGTAACTTTAGTAGACTCTACCATACATTTTTTTCTGGGTGAGTCCATTATGGTCTACAGTGGTGAAAGGGTTATTGAAAATCACTATATTACATGACAAAGATGGCTCTTTCTTAAATATACACAATTCTCAATAAAGTTCAGAACATAATGTCAAAACAGATAAATGTACACAAATTCATACACCAGACAGTCTAGTCCCTGTCTGGACCTCCACTTGTAAACTTGTGTTAACTGGACCTTCAAACTTCCAATAACTTAAACCTGAATTGTTCATTCACCTGCGGATTCTGAATTACATACTCGGTGGCAGTGTTGTTCAGCTGACACAGGTTTTACTGTATTCCCAATATGCAGAGGACAGAAATATTCAACTTGTACGAGTTGTTTTCCCTCTGAAGGGTTTACTACTCATGGATCGATTACAAAATAAGTTGTCAGGTAATTTTGTAAAATTTAGACATATTGTAACTTTTTATTTCATCAAGTTAAGGATTTCATTCCTATTTAATTTTCTTTTCCACTATTTACCTGAAAAACAATTAAGGTGCTTTTTCATAAGGGAGGTTACTCATGCAGTTTAACTATAAACCTGTACTCTGCATTTAGGGACTATACATATTCAGTATTCACCATTCAATAAAACACACATTTTTGCATTCACTCACATCACTCTCCACTAATGTCAACTTTTAAACTTTGATAAATATTTGAAATATTCCCAACACAATTAAACTGAATACAGGTAATTTTTCATGTCAGAAAATATCAAAATTTATCAGAAGTAGCTACAGGAAAATGTCAGTTTTTTGGTTGTTTGTCCCTCATCAGCATAGATTCTCTTTCCACTTGTTCCTTCATTAACTGAGCTTCCTTATATAGTCGGACTTCCTCCTCTATCTCTGGGACCCGTACTGTAAAACAGGAGAAATATAGATTTAATGGCCTATCCTGTAAAACAGGAGAAATATAGATTTAATGGCATTTCTTGTAAAACAGTAGGAATATAGATTTAATGGCATTTCCTGTAAAACAGTAGAAATATACATTTAATGGCCTATCCTGTAAAACAGGTGAAATATATATTTAATGGCCTATCCTGTAAAACAGTAGAAATATACATTTAATGGCATATCCTGTAAAACAGGAGAAATATAGATTTAATGGCCTCTCCTGTAAAACAGTAGGTATACAGATTAAATGACATTTCTTGTAAAACAGTAGGAAGATAGATTTAATGGCCTATATTGTGAAACAGTAGAAATGTACACTAAATGGCCTATCTTCTACAATTTAAACCTATTTTTCAGCTCCTAACAATCCATAAAACAACAGAGATGTTGGTTAAACATTTTCAATAGTCAACCAGTTGATTAACACTTTCCTTTCCAACATTGACTGGTTAAAATCCTGAACTGTTGGCCATAGTGATTTGAAGATTGGGTCTATTTGACAATGTGCTCAACCACCAGAGTGCCATTCATCCGTAATGGACGACTAGTACATTTTATCAAGGGTTATACACCTTCTGCCTCCCCCTTCTGCCCCACTTTGGGTCAAACTCCTCATTTATACAACATTGAATGCTTTTGGTAAAGTTATAATTATGCTCCATGATAAATCAGGTCAAAATCCCCTGACCCCTACTAAAAGATTAGTCTTTTAAAGATTCAAACCCTCCTTGCCCAGCTGATTATGAGGAGTCCACCCCTTTTGTGCCAGTTGGGGTGGGGAGAGTGTGAAGCAATACGGGGCATAAGGGACGGAAAGTAATTAAAGTTTGTTTGAAATCCTCAGTCCTTCAAACAAGGTAAAGTAAAAAGGATTGACCTAATTCGACAGTAGAATACCATGCAGACATGAGCAATGTATTAGTCAAAACACATTTGACTGAAGTGACTATTAATTTATCAAATGGTTCATACGGAGTACAAACAACAATAAATATGTTCAACTACTTACCTGTTTTATAACGAAATATATGATAAACGGTGAGTCCGGCCAGGAACACTGTCCCTCCAAACAAAATGCTATTCCCCGTATACATCAAGTAATCATATATTTTATACTTAGGTGGAAATTTGAATTTCATATTGTTGGTCTATTGTAGAGGTGATAAGATGGAGTTGTGGAATCTGAAATGACAAAATATGTAAAATAAACATATCAGTTATATATTGACACTGAATTCTGAGTCCTGAGTCTGTATTTCTAAACAAGTCTCATGCTCAAACTCAGATTCTGTGATGTAGTCCAATTCTTGTTCCAGGGATGAATTAATAGTCTAAACATGATTTTTTGTCAATTATTTAGAAGAATTATTTTGAAGCAACCGCAAGCTGATTTTACTGTTATCAGTGTACATGTTTACACTTTTTTCTGATTATTTAAGCAATGAAAGTTGGTTTGAGCACAAAGGTGTGTGTATAGCGTCAACTGTAAACCACAAAACATTCTGAACAAGAGTACCGCTGGGCGGAACAATATATGCCTGACAAATGCTATATAGTGTTATATATTTTCTTACATTGAAATAAGATCTGCATCATTCTAAGAGTGGTTAGCTGACATGCTATAAAAATATAGGAGAAAATCTCTGGATAAAACACCAAATACTGAAATGAACAAAGGGAAATAACTTTTGAAAAATTGTTGAATCAAAATTCTTTTCAAGGAAACACAACAACATATGATTATTTAGCCTACTAAGTTTCAAAGAATTCTGTAAAAAAATGTAGGAGATCTTCGGACAAAAAAATTAATACCGAAATGAACAAAGGGCAATAACTTTTGCAAAAATTGTTGAATCAAAAAAAATCTTTTCAAGGAAACACAACAACATATCATGATTATATAGCCTACTAAGTTTCAAAGAGATCCGTTGAAAAATGTAGGAGGAGATTGCCAGACAAAAATCAAATACTGAAATGAACAAAGGGCAATTACTTTTGAAAAATTGTTGAATCAAAATTCTTTTAAGGGAGACAACTTCATATCATGATTATAATGTATACCAAGTTTCAAAGAGATCGGTCAATAAATGTAGGAGGTGGTTGCCGGACAAACAAAAGTTTACGCCGGCCGGCCGGACAACGCCATGTATACCATAATACTCCCGTCAAATTTGACGGGCATATAAAAAGTGCAGCCAATTCTTCCTTAAATTAACTTACCAATTACAACATGTTTTGGTACGTGGCTGAGTCAACCTCATGGAAAGGGAAAAAGTGGATCTATGTCTGCGAAAAAGTTTGAAACTAATTGGAAATGGTGAGTGTTTTTTGAGGAAACGGTATCACGTCTGTGGCATGAGAACACATTTTGCATGCATACAGGAGGTTTGTGAAAGAAAAAAAATATTCATCTTTCCAATAACACCATGCAAATTTTTTTTTGTACAACAAATTTTTATGCGAGAATGTAAGGTTGGGTCAATTTTTCAACACTGAGTGACAACCTTCCTCTTTTCTTATCATTGGGGCTGACACTTTTACCAAAGGTTGATATAAACACCTAAAACCTGTAATATCATAAGACTCTTTCATGCCCAGGGATGTAGGATAGGGTTTTCAAATTTGGCAAAACCCAAGGAATATTTTTCTCTCATTCCAACAACCAGAATACGATCAGAAACCATGAAAATGCGTTTGAACTGGCTACCATTTGGAAAATATAAAGTTTTCCCCTGAACTTATTAGATGAAAACCAAACAATTACAACCAGATTTAGCGTACTGCGTATTTGCAAACAATGTTTGCACAGAAAAACTAATCTCGTCTTCCTAATGTGTACGGTAAATTAATAAATCGTAAAAAAAAAGGGGGTGTAAGATAGAAATTTCCTACACCCCTTTCTTAACCTGGACAGCTCTATCTTACACACACAGAAATGAGAGAATAACCTAAACACCTCAGATTTGGTCCAAACATAGCTGCAACACATTATCAGATTCCTGTGAGTTAGAGGTAAATGATAACATGTACCCATTATTTGCAGGTCAAAACAATCATCCACTAGTTAGACCCCAAAGCTACCATCCCTGATTTAGAGGCCAAAACTACCATTCCTGATTTAGAGGCTAAAACTACCATCCCTGAGTTAGAGGCCAAAACTACCATCCCTGAGTTAAGAGGCCACACTTACCCTTCCTGTTTAAGAGGCCAAAACTACCATCCCTGAGTTGGAGGCCAAAACTACCATCCCTGAGTTGGAGGCCAAAACTACCATCCCTGAGTTAGGGGCCAAAACTACCATTCCTGAGTTCGAGGCCAAAACTACCATCCCAGAGTTTGAGGCCAAAACTACCATCCCTGAGTTCGAGGCCAAAACTACCATCCCTGAATAAGAGGTTAAAATAACCATCCCTGAGTAAGAGGTTAAAACTAGCATCCCTGATTTAGAGGCAAAAACTATACCACCCATGAATGAGAGGCCAAAACTAGCATCCCTGGGTTAGGGGCGTGAACTACCATCCCTGAGTTAGAGGCCAAAACTAGTATCCCTGAGGTAGAGGTTAAAACTAGCATCCCTGAGTTAGGGGCCAAAACTAGCATCCCTGAGTTAGGGACCAAAACTACCATCCCTGAGGTAGAGGCTTTAAAACTACAATCCCTGAATAAGTTATCGTCGTATACATGTTCAGGTCCAGTACACTCTGCCGATTATATGTATAGACCTATAATAGCTCTATTGACATATCTGAAATAGGTCTTTAGAGCTATTTTCATGTGATTTTCTTATATCGGAATATCGGAAATTTTACATTCATGAAATGAAAATAAATCTGAATGTATGCTATTTGTGGTAAACATTACCATAAACCTGATTGTTTTATGCGACTTTGCTTTAATTTAATGAAAATTGAAATTATAGAAAATATAGCTCAATACAGCTTTAATTTATAGGTGAATATAAATCGGCAGTGTACTGGACCTGATTTTGTGCCTTACATAAGCCAAGTGCATACTGCAATATATTGCATGTCTTTAGTGATGTCAGTGGAAAACTGTGACACAGAAACAGCGTGATCTTAACAAGCACTATCGCTGAGTCTGAAGTAAGTAACAGATCCTCAATGACAAGATATGATATTGTTACGATACTTACATCACACCTTAGTAAGTTATAAGCCGGCAATGTATTTGCCCAGAACCACGCACTTTAGGCACCAATGTCAAACACAATACGATAGTTTCGTATGACAAAGGAAAACATTTTGGCATCATATTCATTGGTGACATGCGTAATATTTTGATGTAATTTTAATTTTTGATATAAAAACATAAAATGTTACCATCTGGAATTAAATAAAGCAATGCTCTAGTACAGATAAAAATACGAAAATAACACACGAAAGCGTAGTTACATGTAAACAACATGGCGAACTATCATTCCATGAGTAGAAAGAAATGAGAATTTCCTTGAGTTTTCTTACTCAAACTACTCAAAAATTTCGAATAGGCTAACTTCAAGCTCTTTCCGAAGTTAACAAGGAGGTTTCATATGCTTTCTGGGATTATAAGGAGTATGTGGTAACTAAAACCAGTGTAAGTTTTAAATTTGTAAAGACCTAATCTTACTACCATTAGGCAGTACTGCATTTTGACTGTAAGGTAACAGTGGGGGCCTGTTCGTTTATGAGGAACAACCGGTTCGTCTGTTTTTAAATGTAATGTTTTGGTTTAAATCCTGGCAGACCTGCAAAAGTTTTATGCATGCCTTGCAAGGTTTTGTCAACGCTCTCCTGAAAACAACATCGGATTGGACATGAGTTGTTCGTTTATGACCACCTTATTTCATAAACGAACAACTCTGGTCCAACCAGTTCAGCCGTTTGGATTGCGATAAACGAAAGCGGTCTAGGTGTTGGTATGTAAGCATACATGTATGCCTGTCGTGTAACGTCCTCCATCATCGTATTGACGATTCTGTTATTGGAAGTTGATTAGACTCGGGATGGTTTACACAAAAAGATAAAATTAGATCAGATAAAAGTATTTTGGCCACCTACATCTTTGACCGGCTTTGAAGCTGGTCAGTTAACTGGCCTCCCATGAATTCATTAGGGAGAGCATTCCAATACCCTAAATCATCATGGAAAGAAGGGCTGCTCTGAGAGTAACCAACAACAAAAATCCTAACTCAACAGCTTACAGCTTACATACATGGTCAGACCCAACAGGAAATGAAATCAACCAAGTCAAATGTACTTGGGAGTACCCTGTTAGCTGTTGAACTCTACAAATATGTCATTTTCAAAATATGTTTTCTCTCTTGATTTGACCATGTCCAACTCATTCACCCCTGAAGACACATTTGAACCCTTCCAATTCACAGATTGGAATAGTTCATTATGAAATGTCAGGGGTGAATGAGTTAAGATAGATAATGTTGGGGGTGGGTTTTTTAAATATAATCTGACAGCTGTCACAATAAGTTAAGGTTTTGCTAAAACATTGCTGAGCAGTCCCTAACAACATATCCGATGATAAGTTACTCGCTTTATAGTCAGAATATATTCCTGAAGGATGTGAAATTTTGACCATTTCCATCAAAATTTACCAATTTTATATTATAATTAATTTGGCTCACTACTGATCTGACATATATTTGGATTGCTAAATCAAATCTATCGCAGATAAGACCAATAGAGCTTCAATAAATGTAAGGCTTTAAATCAAAGCAGTAGAATGTATAGAAAAATATCTACCAGTATACTCATTATTTACCAGCTTGAAAGTTGTGTTGGTATTCCTTTCTTTATTACAGCGGTAAATAGTGACAGTTAATACCAGACATGTCAACCAGGCGCGGTCAACATAAAGAGGAGGAGAATTCAGACACACTCCCCGTCCTGGGGGAAGATGGACGTGGAAGTGCTGGTGGTTACTATAACAACAACCATGTCAGGTACATGTATACCAGCTACTCTGAATGGTGGCAGCTGATTCATTGCATCAGTTAAACATGGAAAAGAAAAGAAAAATGTATCCTGGTTTTGTTGCAAGATCTTGAAAATTAATCTAGAATAAATATATGTGAGTGTTGGGAGGGAGTATAGCCAGTGAGGGAGGTACTTTTTCTAACACTCCATCATATGTATTTCTCCGCTTCATTGCACAAGTTCTATTATCATTTACACCCTGCAATCAATACATCAAAATGATGAGGTACTGTGCATGAACCTGTGTGTTGATGTGGATAAGATTTAGGCCAATGATGATGATGATGATGATGATGAAAAATTGAAGTACAAGTGCCTTTATGCCTCTCACTAAAAAGGTGTTTTCCTTTCCCGTTCCCCACAAAGTTTTCAAATTTCCAATGTTTATGATCAACTATACTTTTTGCTTCAGATTAAAATACATGTATTGTAATATGATTCCACATCTGATGTGAATTTTTCTATTTTTAAAGGAACAAACCAACAAGCTATCGTGCCTTTCCGTCTGGCAGTAGACCCGGGTCTGGGAGTCGGCGTACACCCACCCCAACTAAACAGATAGCCCTGCAGGCCGTGAGGAGGAAAGATGATGTGTGAGTGGAAACATTGGAATTATTACCAACATGGTCAAACATTTTACTGGTCAAATGGTCTAACTAACAATTTTGCTAAATATTCATTTTATAAATCTCATACAAAATGGAAATTCAACGTTAAATGATCTCATTTCCTCTGCACTGTGTTTTTTTCCTATTTATCACATAATCCGTCTGTTATCCAGTGAATTCGCCCATGTAGGAGTTTTACATATGTCACTAGTGTAATATACCCTGGAGCATTTTTTCATTGGCTGTGCCAGTCAGTAATCGATTGTGACGTCATAATATGGACAATGACGTGATGTCATAAATTGTGAATGGCACAACAAAATGGCTGTCTCCGTTTGATTAAGCCTTGTACATTTTGTCTTTAAAACCTGTCAAAATGTAAGTTTTCTGAGTTATGTGATAAAAAGCATCTTAAATTTGTTTTCATTTCATATGAGCTTTTATGAAACTTATCTCAAAGTTTTAATTTTTGCTCGCCAAGGCTCGCAAATATAAAAACTCCTAAGACTCGTTTCATAAAAGCTCATATGAAATAAAAACTCATTTAAGATCCTATATATATATACAGTAAAAGCCCCCTTAATTTTGTTTCAGATACAACTGTAGCATAGCTGTTGATAAAGTTGTTTAAGCCTTTTCAGAAGTTCCTAATTAATTAATGCATTTTGAGATTGCAGAGGCGTATTACCAGTAATTGAAATCTTGTTTTTATTGTTTCAGTGTAAAAGAACCTTTTGATGATGTGGATTTAGAAGAATTAAACTCTACATTGAAACTTGAATCAGAGAAGTAAGGACATGTGTAAACCATTAATTTAAAATTGAATATTTTCTCATGCCAAAAAAACCTTGTCCATTGACCAATTAATGAAGAAGGTATAGTGATAATTTCATCAATAATAATCTTTTTGTTAATAACCTCAATGATTTGCTAATATGGAGAGACTGTCAGATGATTTGGTCATTATTCCCTCTGTAACAATGTAAGGTTGGGGAGGGTGTGTGTGTGTTGGGGTGGGTGGGAGGGGGGGTATAATAGAATTTCAGGTTGTCTGTCTGTCTGTCTATCTGTCCATCTGTTACAGATTTATAAACTCTTTCATATGTAGTTCCACCCGACAGTACTAAACATTTTGAACTGAAACAATTGTTTTATGTGCTATCAGTCGAGATTTAAGAGATACTGTTGTTCCAAATCACAAGGGAGATGGTAAAGGGTATAGGAAAAAAGCTACTGTATACCGGGAACTATTTGCTGCAGTTTAGTTTCCCTTATATCATCAACGGTAACAAGGGCAAATTTATCAGTACAGCAAACAGTAGTTAACAGCACGATTGACATAGTACATGTAATTAAATGTGAAGGGCGAAATCAACACTAGGCGAATTTAGATTATTCTGGCGAAGGGTGTCAGTTACACTGGGTGAAAACATTCCGGTATAAACTTCTCTCTGGATAGAAATTTTCGACAGGAATGTGAGAAGCCTTGGTTATGACCCAAATTCTTAACCTTTCGATAGAATTTCCATATCCACCATTCATACATAGCAATAAGGTCTATTAATCTAAAGTGGAACATACAATAAATCTTCTGCAAGCTGAGCCCAATTTTACTTCATGTTTTGTTCATGTTTGTATCTTATGTATACTTTTGTCGTATATTTCTTCAGGTCTTTTCTAGAGAGGGAGAACTCCAACACAGATCTCAAGAAAGGAGATGGAGCCTCTGGTTTTACTGTCAAACTACCAAATGGTTATGGTTCTGGAGCCAGACCTAAGGACTCTCCGTCTAAAACTTCCCATCATAGTGACACAGACAGTTGGGACAAGTAAGATTTTGTCTTTGTAAAACTTACTGTTACATGTAACAGTGATGTGTTTATATTTTGAGTAACCTGTAGATAGAATATCACATTTATTTCTCAAAATATTGGTGTTTGTGGTTTTCAGTTGATTTAACTCAACCTGCCTTTGGATCTGTCAGTGCAGTTATATTAACTGTTAAGAATGTTAACAGTTTTCTCATGTCCCCACACTTATTAACCCTTTCACCCCTATGCAACTTTAGTAGACTCTACCATGCTTTGATCTGGATGAGTCCATTATGATCTATAGTGGTGAAATGGTCAAATGCATTAATATCAGAGGACATGTGCGCTGAGCATTTACACTGAGCTAGGGAAAAAGACTAATCATTCTCAATTACAACATTATAATATACATTATGTAAAGGTATACCAGTATCAAGTATATAATATTAAGTGTCTTCTCACACTCTCAATGTTGGCAACATCAGACTGTGAGTCTGAGACAGCTATTGAAAACTGCATATACATGTATACCATGTATAAGTTTTTTCAAATAAGATTTTGTACCAACATTTATGTTTAAAACAAGGTAGAGCCAACGCCGTAGTTTTCTTAATGGTGGAATAATTTGGTCCTTTGCTCCTCGTCTGGATACCCGAAAGTATGCAGGGGATTGAGTAAAAGTGAGAACATCATAAAATAGGTTCAATCACAACAGGCGAAGGAGCAATAAGTTGTTCTTGTAGTTTATTAGAAGTGTCGACCGGTTTCGCCCCTACAGTGGGCTTCTTCAGGACAAAATTATAGGATATTTCTACCCCTGATGTCCTGTTAGATATGTAATGATATTGGCTTAACAGAGTTATCTATCTTGTAATAGCTATTGATGACGTCACAATACAATCTATTGTTTATGAGATCACAATTTCTGCCATTGTTAATGATGTCACTATACATATATATTTGTGTAGAACAATTGTATGTGCCCACATTTTTAGTACCTCATGGGTAGAAAAATTCAATAATTTTGTCCAGAAGTAGCCCACTGTAGGGGCGAAACCGGTCGACACTTCTAATAAACTACAAGAACAACTTATTGCTGCTTCGCCTGTTGTGATTGAATCTATTTTATAACTTTTATGTTTGATGTTTCTGTCAGAATGAATCTGTCAAAGTTAAACAATTTGGGATGTCCTTTATATTCCCAGAGAAGTGTGATTATCTCCCCTTGGACCATAAAATAATCTTAACACCCTGCTGAGATGAAACTATTCCCCCTGTTTATTTTGTCCAGTGAGATAGCCAGATCTGTGCCTAACAGTAAATCGCTACAGAAAACACAGAATAGCAAGTCCAGTAAAGTCAAGGGTTCCGGTAAAACTGAGGATTCCAGTGATGACGATGACGATGATGAAGACGATGATGATCAAGCCAGCTGGCAGGAAGGGGACAACAAGACAGCTCCGATGCAGCTTATGATGGAGGTAATGTAAGACTGGTCCTTTAGATTCTTCAAACAAAATCTGATACTTAATGTTGTTTGATTAGCATTGTAGTAGGAGCAGAAAATTGCACGGCCATATCGGGGTTCGAACCCAGGACCCTCTGAACTCTAGATGGACGCTCTACCAATTGAGCTAACTGGTCGCCGGGGATCAACCCAGTCCAGATCCGCTACGTTGTGTAAACATGTTTTAGAACCTCATATTTATAGCAAAACTAAACTTTTTGATACATTGTATGCGATGCTCTGATAACAATATTAAGCGAGGGGGTCAAGGTGGCCAAGTGGTTAAGGCGTCTGACACTCTGCTACCACTAGCCCTCCACCACCGGGTCGCGGGTTCAAGACCTACATGGATGGGGCAGTCGCCAGATAGTGGCCATTGGTCGGGGGTTTTTCTTCGAGGAACACTGTCTTTTCTCCACCACCAAAACTTGAATGACCATAGCTGTTTATCGGACGTAAAACACAAACAAACCAGACACTATTAATTAGTCTCTGACTGCATTATGTAAATATATAATCATTACATTATTAAATTAAGTATCGAGAAAACCCTGAAAAATTCTGGTACAAATTCATTTGATATGTTTTAGGCACATTTTTAATTTGAAATAAATCTTTAATTACTGTTTTCAGTTTATTGGCTGTCTGATGCAAGGAGACTATCTGAATGCAGCAAAGCTGTGTAAGATGAGTAAGTACTAAACCCCCTCCTCACCCTCCAGTATACATACATATAGTATACATACCTACAGTATACATACATACAGTATACATACATACAGTATACATACATACAGCATACATACATACAGCATACATACATACAGTATACATACATACAGTATACATACATACAGCATACATACATACAGTATACATACATACAGCATACATACATACATTATACATACATACAGTATACATACATACATCATACATACATACAGTATACATACATACAGTATACATACATACAGTATACATACATACAGTATACATACATACAGTATACATACATACAGCATACATACATACAGTATACATACATACAGTATACATACATACAGTATACATACATACAGTATACATACATACAGTATACATACATACAGTATACATACATACAGTATACATACATACAGTATACATACATACAGTATACATACATACAGTATACATACATACAGTATACATACATACAGTATACATACATACAGTATACATACATACAGTATACATACATACAGCATACATACATACAGTATACATACATACAGTATACATACATACAGTATACATACATACAGTATACATACATACAGTATACATACATACAGTATACATACATACAGCATACATACATACAGTATACATACATACAGTATACATACATACAGTATACATACATACAGTATACATACATACAGCATACATACATACAGTATACATACATACAGTATACATACATACAGTATACATACATACAGTATACATACATACAGCATACATACATACAGTATACATACATACAGTATACATACATACAGTATACATACATACAGTATACATACATACAGCATACATACATACAGTATACATACATACAGTATACATACATACAGTATACATACATACAGTATACATACATACAGCATACATACATACAGTATACATACATACAGCATACATACATACAGCATACATACATACAGTATACATACATACAGTATGCATACATACAGCATACATACATACAGTATACATACATACAGCATATATACATACAGTATACATACATACAGTATACATACATACTGTATACATACAGTATACATACATACAGTATACATACATACAGTATACATACATACAGTATACATACATACAGCATACATACATACAGTATTCATACATACATACAGTATACATACATACATACAGTATACATACATACAGCATAATACATACATACAGCATACATACAGTATACATACATACAGTATACATACATACAGCATACATACATACAGTATTCATACATACATACAGTATACATACATACAGCATACATACATACAGTATACATACATACAGCATAATACATACATACAGCATAATACATACATACAGCATAATACATACATACAGCATAATACATACATACAGCATAATACATACATACAGCATAATACATACATACAGCATAATACATACATACAGCATAATACATACATACAGCATAATACATACATACAGCATAATACATACATACAGCATAATACATACATACAGCATAATACATACATACAGCATAATACATACATACAGCATAATACATACATACAGCATAATACATACATACAGCATACATACAGTATACATACAGTATAATAATACAGTATACATACATACAGCATACATACATACAGTATACATACATACAGCATACATATATACAGTATATATACATACAGCATACATACATACAATATACATACATACATACATACATACATACATACATACATACATACATACATACATACATACATACAATATACATACAGTATACATACATACAGTATACATACATACATACATACAGTATACATACATACATACATACAGTATACATACATACATACATACATACATACATACATACATACATACATACATACATACAGTATACATACATACATACATACATTATACATACAGTATACATACATACAGTATACATACATACATACATACATACATACAGTATACATACATACATACAGCATACATACAGTATAAATACATACAGTATAAATACATACAGTATACATACATTTGTCAGTGATACTTGTTAATGAAAGATATAACTATAGGTTGACAAGGTGTACTCTTCTCCTGCTGTGCTTCAAATTTTCCTCTCCCAGACCTAAGTATTGCTATTGTAATGGGAGAAAGAGAAATGCATGGCCAGACTGGGATTCGAACCTGGGACCCTCCAAACCCTAGACAGACAATCTACCGATTGAGTTATCGGTGGTCATCGCCGATCGACCCAGTTCTGTTCTGCTACACCCATTTTATATACCCTACATGGTCGAGGCCAAGGTCATTGTTGTTATTTAATATGATAACCACAGGGCCACGGATAGCATTTCTATCTTACAAACAATTACAGGCTGTTGTTATGATTAATATAAAGTTATGGTTTGGATGACTGAGGTTTAATGAGATATAAATCCTTTTACAGTTTTGATGTATGAGCCGACTAATGCAGAGGCTTTGAAGTTCCAGCCGTTGATAAATGAGAAAATTGACCTTGGTAAGTCATAAATTTGTGATAGTCAGGTTGAGAAAAACACTGTAAATTGATCTTCTTACAGATGATATATAATATGTGGTAGTCCTATCAATTTCTAGCCTAATTTAAAAAAAAAAAATGTTTGAAAAGAAAATATTTCTTTTGATAATAAGTGAAAACATTTGATTTTTTCATTCATATTTCCTAGGCTTCACCTTCAAAAATAAAACTTTATGTAAATAAGTAACTATTGTTAAATATTACTTACAAGCAGAATTGTTTACTTTGAGGAAAAAAGTAAAATAGTGTTTTTCTTCAGACAATTGACCCAGGGCTTGCATTAACGATCACCAAATGGCGACACTTTTTCAGAGTTTGCGACAAAAAATTCAGTTTGGCGATATTTTTTGGCAACACAATTTTTACCTACTCTAAAATGATTAAAATCGGTCATCTGTGGTCAGACCAATTACTCAAACATCAATTATGACAACAAATATGTCTAAAGTTTTCAAAGTCGGTTCAACCAATTAAAAAATCAAAGTTACTTTGTAACTAACCATTGTCAGGGTGAGAGAAAAAAAACTACAGTGAATCCTGTTCAGGACTTGGATATAGTTTATAGAAAATGTTCCCCAATACAGTGGAACCCGCTTATTATGATATTCTATTTGGCTGAGAAAAATATTATAATAACCAATATAGCGGTATTATAATAAACGATCAAGCTGTTTTCCGATCGTTTTTTGTTCGTCTGAACTGAAGTGAGATGCCCTATAATCATCAAGCATAGACAGATGTGGAAACATGGGAAGATATTGATACAAATTAATAATTGTTATAATTGAAATAAATTGTTAATTGTTATTTATTTCAGTGTGTTGGGAAAATTTCGAGAAAATTTAATTTTGCGACAAAATTATCAGTTTGTAAATTCTACTTTCACTTTCAAATAATTTTGGAGCAATTCCCAAGAACTAGCATTATAGTACATCCTAGCTAACGATACCGTAATATAACAGTCAATAGGATGAAAGAAGTGACATAAATTGTCATGAAAAGTTGTGTTATGTTCTGTCCCATATTAGCGTAATCATGTATTGTTATTACTGTCAGCTGATCTGTGACAGACATAGTTTAGTTACGAGAAGAGATTGAAGTGACGGTCTTGTGTTATCTTTGTAGATGCGCAGCCTGATGTTGACTCTGGGAGTGGTGGATCAGGGTCAGAGGATGATGATGCGACAGATGAGGGTAATTCAGACGATGACTCAGATTCTGATGATTCTGATGATGATTCAGATTCAAGTGACAACAGGTATGTGATGAGATTTCTTCGCAGGCCATTTAGGTGTGGATTTTGGTAACAGTCACCCCGGCACTACTTACACAAATTATCTACTGTATAACACGAAATGTTCCTGGGTACTTTCCGTCCTGGTTTGAAGCCTTTTAGATTGTTTCGTAATACACACTTTTGTGGATATCCTCTATAAACAAACAGTAGATATGTATGATCATTTAAATTCGTTGTATTTATTTTCATGGTTCAATAGCAACCACGAAAACCATGAATGTTTATCCACAATGAAAATTTCATGTTATACAGTATATCAATTCCGTTTGTCTGTCCATTTTCTGCAAACCGTTTTCTATTTTCATAAAACCGTAGAAAACTCTCAAATGATATAATGCTGACTGTGTTCTACATAATATGGTTTTGAGTATATCTAGCCGATACCGTTAATTATTCTCATAATTCATCTCCTAATTAATCCTATTCTGATGGTTTAAAGGGGAACCTGTTCTAGCTGAATGAAAAGTATTGGTTTTCAGTCGTCAGTGTTGAGGATTATTTATACGTACACCTATTACTAACATCTTAAGGTTTCCATTTTGTAATTTCTATTTTTTTTTCTTTGTTTGTACAGTTCTAGTGAGGCAGAAAATGAAGGAGAAAAGCCTGACTCAGGCATATCTTCTGGTCTCTCAAGATCAAATTCTAATTCTGAGATGGAATGACAGGACTCCTAAATCCATCACGTATCACAATGCAAATATTGATGTGTGTGAGCCGAAACTTGAAGAGGAAAAAAAAGAAAATTTCGTAAGGATTGTTGATGATTTACAACTATGTTGTTACAGAGGCTGATGAAAAACTGGACCAAGTTCAAATTGAAAGCAAAGAGAGAATTAAGCTCTGATTCAGTATGATATGATGCATGACTGTCTCACAATTGATGAAATTTCAATTCTCAGCTCGTGTGACATTCCCTGTAATAACAGTGTAGGATTTAAAATAGTCTTTGATTTCCATTTATTTGATTGAGTACCTTCCTTAAAAGATTTTTTCCTCAAGTCCCTACAAGAGTATGATTGGTGATTTTTTTTGTTTTTTTCGCTAGTTTGAACGATTTCAACATAATTTGTTTAAATTAATTTGAACTGGCCAAATTGTTACCGTAGCAGTATTTGAACTGTTCCCAAATCTTACTTGACCTGCAAGAACCTGCTGATTTTATGGACTTAGCTAGTGATAAATCTACATACAAGTCCCGAGACCTATAATCATAGAATTTTGATGGGACTCTCAGAATTTCTTCAAATACTTAATTTAACATTGTGGGACCCATTGATTTTAGCAGTACAGTTGAGAAGGACCCATGGAAATAAATTGTAGATTGACCACTGTAGTTAACAGCTAGTCTCTGTCAAAGGTGGGGGCTTAATACCAAGCTTATTACATAGATATACAATGGTGTACAATAAGTTTATTGGTTCATCATTGGTTCATTGATTATGACACCGTTGTAAGCGTCAGTCGCTTCTTGAGGTGCTTCTTAATTCTGTCCACTTCACTTTCGGTTGCATTAGGAGGTATTGAAGAAGACTTGTTTCTCAATAACTAGTGAAAATTATTTACAGGTGCAGTGGGTGATAACAAGGGTAGTATAATAATTTCATATAAGATAAGGGTATTCAGTTATAAAAAAAAGGACAGACAGGCCTGTATAGACCTGTCATGATACCTGTACTTAGAAGTATAGATATTTAAAGGGTTTAATGAGTTTAAAAAAGTACTGAATTTGGATTGAACATTTGGGAGGTTGTATGTGTTAATTATATAACCCAACTAATTAGTAGAAGCTTGGTTCGAACTTGATGGGGTGATTTATCCAGTATTTGTTTAACCTGGTCTTAAAGGAAAACAGAGATGGGGCATTAACCACTTGATCAGAGAGACCGTTCCAATCATTTACAATTCTAAATTTGAACGAATGGCCACGCAGATTACTTCTACACCTCAGTTTTTCAAGTTTCTGGTTGTGACCTCTGGTTGTTCTTGTTGCATTGATTTTTAGAAAGTCATCTTTGATGTTGTCTATCCCATTTATTATCTTAAAGGTTTGAACCATATCTGACCTTAGTCTCCTGTACTCCATTGTTGGTAGCCCAAGAGCCTTAAGTCTTTCAGGATAGGATAGGTCTTTGATACCAGGGACCAGTTTGGTGGCTCTTCTTTGCACATTTTCTATAGATATCTTATCCTTTATAAGCATGGGTGCCCAAACTACAACAGCGGTCTCTAGATATGGTCTTACAAGGGATTTGTATAGGGTAATGAACATTTCTTTGTTTACACAACTAAAGGTCCTAAAGATCATTCCTACATTTCTGTTTGCTTTTGCTACTGACAGGTTTACATGTTCACTAAACTTAAGATTAGTGTCAATAGTCACCCCTAGATCCCTTTCACTGGCAACAGATTGGAGTTTGTGAACTTCCCCCTGTTTGATGATGCTGTATGAAGTGTCACATTTTAAAGCTCCTTGGTGTAATTTTAGGTGCTTACACTTGTCAGAATTTAGCTCCATCATCCAGTTGTTCAAACGGTGAAGATCCTCTTGAAGATGTTGCCCCTGATCTCCTGGATCCATTGCACGATATATCTTTGTATCATCTGCAAACGTTTTGGTCAGGTTATGAATGACCTCAGGTAGGTCATTAACATAGATGAGGAATAGTACTGGCCCCAGCACACTGCCCTGGGGGACTCCGCTTGTGACTTAAATATTGAACCCTGAGTATAGACATGTTTTTGTATTAACTAGCATCTTGTTTACTATAAAGAAGAGAGTAAGCAACTCCCCCAAGGTTACCTGTTCAAAATGCCTCTGCTAGCCTAGAGTTAGAACCAAAAACTAAAGCTTACTTGTACGGTATGTGCTCTACCGATGGAGCTGAAGGGCAATTTCACCTGAGGTAAAGTCAGTAACTAGTGTCTAGGTAATTTGTTAATGTGACGTACTCCTCCCCCTGGAGGTGTAACTCTGCCTGTTTCTCAGGAGAAGACCCATACACAGTACCCAGGGGCACTTTGTGGGGGGCCAATGTAAACTTGGGCTCTTTTCTAAGTACCTCTCCCCTCTAGGGCCTCTAGGGTTTAAGCGGGACACTGTGACACTAGTATGATCACACGGGTGTTATACTGAACATTTACATTAGCCGAAGCTGTAAGTTGCTAGTCCCTTGATTTTACTATTATACTTTTAGCCAGGTAAGACTGTGAAGTAGCCGACACCACTATTTCCACCCTGTCATGATCAGCTGTGTCCAGTGTGAAGTTGAGACTAATGTGAGGACAAACTTTTAAAACAATGCATGATGAGGTTCTATTGTTTATGTCTTACTTCAGTTCATGATTTCGTGAATTTTTCTGATGGACTTTTCTATCTCCGACAACATGGTGATATATTGGATGACAATCAATCTTGCGTGTGTTTTGCTTGAGGTAACAAAAAAATTAGATTTGAGATATTCTGAATACTTGTCAAACCCAACACATTCCATGCCTCACCTTGTGGAAGTTTTTGGTCCATGTAGAATACATTCTTTTAAAAAATGTCAAGACTTTTGGCATGGTGTCAAATGACCCAGCGCTAGCAAGATCACATGACAACAGGGTTTCAGTTGCTGATGTACAAAGTGACGAAATAGCTCGGATCTCATTTAGAGAGGAAATTGTGTTAAATCTAGTGTGTGTGATAACAATGAAGCCGTCCAAGTATCAATACCATTGTATAAATGTGAATGCTATGTGACTATTGTATAAATGCTGTTTATACGTATAATTTCTAACTCACATTGAATTCATTCCATATACATTTATTTATTCTATTATTTTATTCAACATAATTTTTCCATGCTTGTATATAATGTATAATAAATGCATAAATTATTTTTATATTCCATAAAAGATATATTGTTATGTCATACAAGAAGAAAGCTAAATGCTCACTAATGGTTTTCTTCTTCAATACATAAAAGCTACTTCAGTGACATTAATTTAACAGAATTTAATCATAGATATCAGGAGAATTTTAACTGAGTGCTCTGGGTCCTGGATGGAGACTGAAGCCTTTGGTGAACATTAAAATTCTTCGTTTTAAACTTGTTGTCGTAAATGCATTGTACAAATGATTGGTGGTATATATATTTGGTATGAGTGACTTGACTGCAGAATGAAGAATGCCTGTTTATAGGATATGAAAATGTGAATGGCTGGTTAATATTGATATGATAATTATATGTACCTATACCATGTTGCTTCATTGTCCAGAGTTCCAATACAAAGACAATTCACAGGTTAGTCAAGCAAGCATGAGTTTGATATTCTGTTGCTAGGGAAATATTTTTTTGCTGATTTGCTAGTTGGTCCAGATAGAGAGTTTTTATCATATACTGTATAACGGGCTATTTATGCGGGCGTAAATTTTCACGATTTTGACCAAAAATTAGAAAATTGTATTAACATGTTATAATTTTGTGATCTAAACGTGAAGGAACTAGATTTTTTGTGGTGTTTTAGGTAAATGGAGATTTATGGATTGTTAAATGGGTTATTAGTTTATATTCATGGTACAGTCAATTTGTCTTATCAAACTAAATTTCAATTACTACCCAAGTTGGTTCCGACTCGATGCAACTACCAAATGTAACTTGTTTCATTTGCCAATGAAATTGACCAGATTAATCACATACTTTGTGAGCTTTGAGATGACGTACGAACTAGGTTGTGATAAAGCTGTATATAAGAACCTCCTATTATTATTATTAACATTGCCTGTGCGTATGAATACATATTTCATATTTTGCAAAGGGAGATAACTATTGATTTTTTTTAGCACAATTTGTAAAGAAAAAAGATACCACTTGTATGTGATTTATACCATTTCTATAAAACAGTTCATTTAATTAATTTCTATTTCAACTCAATTCAACAACCCATGAAATCGACCAAGAAATATTCAATCATTAAAAGCAAAAAAATGAGATATACCTGTTTAATCGATGTTTACTAGCTCGAGTTTGATGATGTGTTGGTATACAGGCCATTGAAACATCAAATCTCACAGAACAATTTCCAATAAATCTAGTGCAAGGGAAGGTGTCGAGATATCCATGTTACAAAAAGGAACAATATATACTTAGAGCTGAAAGGTGTAGAGGATTGTTGGAGATATCTAAGTTCTAAATAATGAAAAACATTCCCCATCAAACATCTTCGTACATTCCACTGAACTCAAGTTTTTGACCGCTCAGTTTGTATATAACCATGTAACAATACTGAGCATTATCTCTGTGTTTTAATTTTAATAATTGAATATTTTGACGTTTAAAAGTAAACAGTCCGAGTCACTGAATGTTGACACATACAGCCTTAAAGTATCCAACATGTTTCAGGTGTAGAAACGTGCAAAATGACTGAAAAATAAAACCTGGAAAAGCAATTAGGAGTTATTCCCTTTTTTTCTGCAAAAAAAAGGTACATGTATTAAATAATTCTTTAGGGTTTGTATTTTCCTCTGTTATAAGTAGAAAGTTTGCATATCACACCTCATTATCCGAAATCACAGACAGCGTAAGTATTTGTGCAGACAAAAACATCCTCGATACAATAAATGTGTGCTACCTTGTATTTGTGACTTCAGGTAGAGACACAGGTGACTTACATTACATATCTAACATTGTTC